TTGCAGGACATTAATTTTTAAAGCGGTAATGAATTATTCGATGAAACTCCATTGCAAAATAGTCCGCATAACTTAATGTTTGAAAGCGGACAATAATTGCATTGGCCCATCAGCGAAGTAAGTGCATTTCACATGCAGTACATGTGTTCGATTCACACTCGGTTAATGTTATTTTAATTAAAAAGGAATTTAAAAATATGTATGTATGTTTGTGTATATTACATATAGCCTTCATTCGGGCGATTTAAAAACAGGCTGGCCATTAACCAATGGAAAACAATGAGCCAGAAATGGTCCATCTGACCACAGACTCATCATCATCGTCGTCGACGGCGCAGGAAAGGCAGTGGACAAGCCGCGGGATTGCGTTTGACGGCGTAGTTGTTACTGTTGCCGTGGACACCGTGTTTATTAATGAGCTTGTGCAGCGGTCCATCTGCCACATGCAGCCAGTCGAGGAGGCATTGTCCTCTTTGTCCGCTTCATCGCCTGCATCCCGGCCACATCCTTATCCGTCCGTATTTAAATCAGTGGCCCGGGATAATCACAATCAAAATGTATGCAAATTGAGATGGGAGTGGCCGTAAAGCTGGAAACCATCCAATTTAACAGATTTTTCCACCAGCTCCGTTGATGAAGTGCCTGGGCCATGGCAGTCAACTTGCAAGGATGTACATCCGGCGACTATCTTATCCATATGCAGCATATGTGGAAATTAATTAACGGCAGTTGAGCGTTGGATGGAAAATTAATTGCGGAGACTTAATGTATAGTATTCCCCATTAAAACACCTTTTGTCGGATCGACTGGGTGCAATTGAAATCGATGGCGACGGCAGGACTCCTGGAGAATGAATTATGCTAAACCATGGTCACTGGCAATGCCACCGCCTTTCACCTGGCATTCTCTTCTTGGAACAGGACCTTATTACCAGGGGGTTTATACTAGGATCCCTTGCCAACTGCACAAACACGGATAAACTTTTATGGCGTGAAGAGCTCTGGGTTCGGTTGTTTTTGCAGTTGTTGCTGGCGGTGCTTTTGTTTGCCTTTCGACTGCACTTTAAGCACCGAAGTTCGTTAATGCGCGTACGTGAGCTCTGTTCAGATTCCCCGGAAAAGCGGCCCATCAACTGCCATCTCCAGTCCGGATTAGGAGCCAAAGTTTGCGGGCCAAGAATGGCAAACAAACACGTTGGTCTATGGTGTCTGTTTCCATTTGCGTTTTGGGGCCAAATGTCGGAAATCTAGTAATAGAAAATGCAGCACAAACACACGATTCAAATTTTACCTGAACACAAAAACTCGCACAGCTCATTATTAATGTGCGAGCTTCGATGTGCCGTTCAGTCACCTTGCGTAACATTCGGTAGGTAAGAATGGGAGGTGGTTGGTGCTGAAGATGGCATCATTGTTGCTTCAGCTAATGATGGGAGAAAAAAAAAAAAAAAAATTGAAACGGGGTAGCTCCTCCAGGGCAGCATTAATAAATTCCGCACGTACTGAGCCCTCCATATAAATCTGTTTCAAGCATATCCTTGAAAATTGCAATTGCAAAGCAGCCGTTGCCGCAGTGGTGCGAAAAAGAGGAACAGCACCAGGACAGGCAGAAAAAAAGAGGGAAAATGGTAAAGCCTGGGGGCGGTGGGTTTTGGTGGTTACTTTTTTTGTGTGTTAGGGGTGGCGGAGTTAGCTGGGCCAGAAGCTCCAAAGCCAGCACAAATACCTACATTCCAGTCAGCGAAGAAACAAAAAGCGAACTTTGCATAGGCTTCCAGGCGACGAAGGCGACGAGGATTCGAGCTGCCGAGCGAATGTCCCTTTGGGGACCTGCCCCACGCAAACAACTATTAAAGCCTTAGACTTCTTCTGGATAAGGCAGCGGATAAAATGGCCCTCGAAGGGGCAATGTTTTGTACTCGCAACTGCAACAGTTTGTGTCCTCTTTCCAGCGCATGCGCATTTTCTATACATTTCCCGCTTTTCCGAACAGCAACAGGCTGAAGGAGCACCACGAAAACAGCAACAACAATGTTTCCATTGCCGAGGGGCAGCGCAATCAAAATTGCAATGCGGGCTATGCATTTTTATGGGGCAGACAAAGCCTATCAACCCATCAGCTCATCAACCCATCTGCTAGCTATCCACTCATTGTCTCTGCTCCAATGGCCCTTTCATGAGATTTCTGCCCGGAGAGTAACTGACTGCTGGATTAACTTTGAACACGGACAAAAAATCATCAAAGTGTTAGTTTTACATAATCACCTTAGACTTTCTCATGTATATCCTCGGGTTAATTTAAAATATTAATATCTCCTAATATGTAAGCTCTTATTATATTTGTAACCAAATTTCAACGGATCTCATAAGAACTCCGCCTTACCATTGACTAATTCCCTCTTTGAAATGCATATTTCATATTAACTTCACCATAAAAAACTTCAAACTTGTTATTTTGTGACTAAAGTACTTCATAATATTGACTAAATTTATCTGCTTTTCTTTTTCTTCTTGCAAAATTGTTTGTATTTCTTGTGTTAACAATATAAAATGTCATTTTGTGATTTCAAGCTGAAATTCAATTGAGATTTAGTTATATTGAAAATCACTCTCCCCAGAATTCCCAAGGATTTAAGCTTAAATTTAAATTTTAAGCCTCAAATTGTATTTATGATTGTAGGAGTAAAAAGCTTCCATGATTGGAAAACTATTTAATTGATGGACCCATTGAAAATGAAGTTCGTTCTCTGTGCAATTCAAGAGGGGTAAGTGCATTATCGCCCTCTGTAGATATTTTATTGTCCGTGGGAGCCTGCATTCTTACCGATTGCTGCTGATAAAGTGCTTGATAAATGAATCAGCCAACTTAGTAGCTGGGCGTTAAGCAAACGCAACTAAACTTTCAAATAAAATGGGATATTATGCACCAGCACAGAATGTCCTCCGTCTTCGTGGCCCTGTCGTCTGCCAGTTGCTTCTCCGGATTGGCTGCTGCCCTGGGATTCCCGTGCCAGCTGCTGTGCTTATTTAAAATTTATGAAAACGCATCATCTGCACAGCACGTTCCATTATTTGCCAGATAACTCAGCTACGGGCGGCGGCAAATAGCTCGCCGAGCACGCGCCCAAGGACCAAGGAGCAAGAGCCAAGCACCAAGGACCTCTTCTCACCTGCCCACATAAGCTTACCTGCCGGCATGGCACATATGTATGTATGTTTGTAAGTATGGATGAATATATGTATGTAGGTGTAGCGTATGTGCCGGGCTGTATAAACAAACAGTGGACATTTTTCAAGAGGTTTCGACGACCATCTTTGCAGGATTTATGTGTGTAATGTGAAAAATTTCAAACAGCAAACGCTGTAAATTTATGTGGCACCCAGTTAGTGTGCGACTGTGTGTGTGCGTTTATGTGTGTGTCCAAGGATATTTGTGTTTAACCAAGCATAATCCTATTAAATGTGACAGGGGACGACAATTGGCTGGATTTTTGGCCACGACAGCGGAGCTTGTATGCTGCATTGCCGGACCACTGGAGTGTATTAAAATATGACAAACTGTTTTTGTTTTCCGTGCCTCGACGGACACGTAAACAACAACGTGAACTGGGTGGGTGTTTGTATGTGGCTGCCACCCACGAAGATGAGATTTTGATTAATGCGCATTGCTGGTGTTCCTGCTGCTGGCGGGGATGCTGCTGTTGCATCTGCATTAGCGTCGTCGACACTGCAGCAGTGGATCCTGTACTTGAAGGCTGGAGAAGCTGGCCACTGAAATGCAAATGCAAATGTGCATCCTGGCCAGGAGAGCGTGAAAAAGGCGGCGGGCGGTCAAGGGCGCCGACATGGGACCACCATTTCGCCGCATTCATTTGTCTTCTTCAGGCACAACAGCAACAGAAGCAACAGCAACATTCGAATTGCACTTTCAGTTGCAACATGCAGCATCTACGTCAGCAGGAGCATTCAGCAGCAGGGCTTAATTCAATTGGTGGGCATGAAATATTTAAGATGCTGACGCAAGTGCATACCGATGTAAGTATCCCTCTCATATGCTGCGCACTCTAAATCGTATTATGCACACTGCAGCAAACAGGGAACGTGAGAGCCTGGCGATTCCGGTGGAAAGTTCCTCTTACTGAGCGAATTCTAACGATTTTCACATTAGCAACTGCCCCTGCCTACCTACCCCTGGCCACGCCCATCGGACCTGGCAGCTGTCTATCTATTTGACTGCCTCAACAGGCGTTGTCGGAAGACGTTTGTTGTTGTGCCAACCTAGTTGTTGCAGTACCAGAACTGGAACTCTCGTCCCGTATCTCTGTCGTATCTTCCATCACGGCATGGCAGCTCCTTCCGCTCCACCACAGGAACATGTAGGCGTACTCCGTGTTCAATGAGGAGTTGTGTGCCGCATAAATAAATATAAAGCCTTTCCCTAAAAGCATCGGCTTTAACATAATTTTATAAAATGTTTTCCCCAACGCAGTCTAAATGTCAATTACTTACTATACACACTCGGAAAAAGATTTAAAAAATTTTAAAAATTTAAACTTAGTCCTTTTTAAGAAAAAGTCCTCATACAACCAAAACATAAGGTGATATTTTGATATACTTGGCCCATCGTCATAAAAATGGGGTAGAAAACTTAAGCCGAAACAATATTTATCACATTTTTAAATTTTTTTCCGACTGTCCTCGCAATAAAAGTCACTTACCTGATGTGCATATTTATAGACTAAGCATTCCAGCAGTATTTTTCCTCGATTTTAAGCCGCATAAAAATAGCATCGCCTGGGTCTGTTTATAGATATGGATTATTTGCAGCAAAGCCAGTTGACGTAATTACACGCCCTTGGCGAAAATGATGACAGAAAAATCCCCATTCAGATGCCATTCAGCCAAATCCCTCGCCCACAATGGGACTGAAATAAAAAAGCCACTCGGCGAATTAAATTAACACAAATGTTGTTGTTTTTTTTTAAATAAAAATGCATACAATTTGTTTATTTTCATTCATTTTGCGGCGTTTCTTTCGCTTTCGTTTTTCATAAAAAGACGAATTTACATACTAAATATCATATAGGTATTACATAAAATTGCTTGTAAATATTTTTACATTTGTATAAAAGTGGAAACTGAAATCGCCATAGGACATTTGTCATAGTTGTGCTTATGCCTTGTATTACATATACTACGGATTACAACTGGACGCACTTAAACACTGCTTCTAACTACATTATTTACGATTATTTGATTTATGTTCTCTGCTCTCGTTTTTTTTTCGTATCGAAATAGTTGTTTAGTTGTTTGTAGATTTTGCTTAATGGCTAAAAAACTAAGAAGAGTAAGCCCAAAAAACAAGGGCAGTCGGAATGCTTAAAGTTTATAGATGGTTCTCGTGAAGGATCATCCTGAATACTTCGTCCGGCTGCTGTGCCCGGACTTTGCGATAGCTCCTACTTTTTGTGCTAGAACATAAAACGTAAATTTAATTTGCGGAAAATAAGAAAAGCCCATTTGGTAAAAAAATGAGAGGGAGAAAAACCAGATGCTGTATGCAAATGATAGTTAAATGCAAACAAAGTGAAATTATTTAATTCAATTAAATAAGATTTTTGTTTCTTTTTTTTTTTTGTGTGTTGTTTTTGTTTTTTTGCCTGATGTTTTCGTATTAATTCAATTCGGATGGGCCCAGTGTGGCGATTTGTGTTGTTGTCGTTTCTTTGTGGTTGCTGCACAACATTAAATTTGCAGTTAAATTCTTGCAATATCTCATTCATCGATTCGATTTGATTTTAATTTGCAATGAAAATATTTTGTTTTAATGCGTACACACTTTCATGATTAGTAACAAATGGGTTTGTTTTTTGTAAATGCAAGGGACACGTTATTTGCACAATTAATTAAAATTATCAATACATATGCGAATATATCGTACATCCATAATATACATATGTATACAATTAGTGGGTATCTATAATGATGACAGCGAGTCCTTCTCCAACACGCTGATATGTCTATGTGTGAGTAGTGGGATTTTGTCTGTGTGTGTGTGTGAGTGCGGGAGGTTGTGCGTGTAAGGATTCGCTCGGATCACATACTCATACCCATACCCACCACACGGCGTATACGCAACTTCAACACTTTATCCCATTTCCTTACAGCTGCTACCGGATATCCTCTACTTCTTTTTGCCCTTTCGCTTGTTCTTGTTGCGGTTATTGTTGTTGCTACTATTGCTGCTGCGGTTGTTCTGCTTGCTGGTTTCTGGCCTTGGAATGCCGCTGGTCACAATGTTGGACACGGTCCGCGTTGTGGTCACCACACTGGTGCTTGGCTCGTTGTCCTCTGAACTCAGAGCCTCTGTGGTGGTGGTGGTGGTCGTTATGGTCTCCCCCTGCTGTCGGTCGAAAATCTGACGCTCCGACTCGCCGGCGCTTAGAAGGCGGTTGAACAGATCCTCTCCAGACTCACCCTTCTTTTTCTTTTGCTTCTTGACAACCTCGGTGACTGTGACGACGGATGAACTATCGCTGGCAACGGGCAAAGTGTAGGTCCTTTGGGTTTCCACCACAGTACCGCCATCGGCGCTAAGCAAATCCTCTACAGACTTGCGCAGCTGCTTTGAGATCTCGGCCAGAGCGCGTTGCTCAGCCTGCAATTGGGCCAGGGTGTCAGCTCCGCAGGGCTTCTCCGTAGATAGTTTCTCCTCCAGTTTCGTATCTTCCTCCTTTGGCTCCTCAGCCTCCTTGATGGTCGTGTACGTCTGTGACTTTTGCAGCTTGCTGCCTGTGGCCAATGTATTGAGATTCTCGATCACCTGGGCACCCTGCACGTAGGTGACATTCAGCTGCTCCTGAGCATTGTCCTCCTCGTCGGAGTCATCGCTATCCTCGTCCGAGGAGTCACTGCTCTCTTCTTCCTCTTCTTCGTCGTCATCCTCTTCATCATCGTCCGACAATTGGCCCGCCAATTTAGCAATGATTGTGTTGCGGTTGCTGTCCTTAATCAGCTCCTCGAGCAGCTGCTGATTACCGTTCTTGGCATCATCCTGGTCATTAGCAACGCGACTCGTGACCGTGGCGCCGCCAAAGTCAACCACATCGTCGATGGCATCGCCGTAGGCGCTCTCCTCATCGTCCCGCGCGTCGCCATAGGCACTGCCATCCTCGTCGTCCTCCTCTTCGCCTTCGAGGCTCTTTTGCAAATTCAATTTGACGCGCTCGTTCTCCAGCAGCTCCTCGAGCACGGTTTTCATTTTAGCATTTAATGACAGCTCAGACCTACCGCCGCAGGCGGCTCCTGGCAAGACGAAAGTTTCACTGCGAAGTACGGCCACGGCACCCTGCTCGAAATCGTCCTCGTCGAAGGGCAAGCTACCGCTCACGTGAATGGTGCGGGCACTGCCATCGCCTCCAATAACCGGATTCAGGACCTCCACAATGGTCGTCTCCTTGGCCATAGTTTGGTGAAGCGACAGAGGAGTGGGCTTGATTCGCACCTTTCCGGATGCAACACTTTCAATGGATGAAGGACCATAGGTATCTGAGTCGTGGCGCAGGAACAGCTTTTCATTGTTCGCCTGTACGGTCACAATGGAGGCGGTATCCTCCTCCTCATCCTCATCCTCGTAGTCATCGTCATCGTCATCTTCATCATCATCCTCTTCATCTTCATCTTCATCTTCTTGGAAGTCATCTGCCTCGAGTTCCAGCGGCGGTTGCGTATCATCTAGCCTGCCTTCGTCCTCAGGTTCAGGCACTTGCAGCTCCAAGGATATGATGCGCTCCTTGCAAGTCTCCACCTAAGTGTAGATGAGGCGGATACGTTGTGCATTCGGTTTGCCAGCACACTAACTACTAATGGAAGCAAGGCCAAAGAAAGCAGAAGGCGCAGGCACCGCAACCAGAGATGTGGGTCCCACTCAAAGCGCTTACAGCTAATTTATACAGCGAGGTGGAAAACGAACAGCTTGATGGGTGAATTGAGGTGTGTGAGGGCCAGGCCAAAAGAAGTGATGCAATGAGTACAGATGGTGAAGGCTACACAAATACATCCCTATGTACATACAGATGTTAGTTAACGTTAGTAATTATGGATGGGTGGGTGGGTGATAGTAGTAGTAGACGTGCAAAACTTTTAAAGTTCTAGTTGATCTGATCACGACCTGGGCGAATTTCGAGAAGCTAGCACGCACAGGGGCAGCCTAGTCGTATACGTGATATGAGGCAAATTGACAAACGACTAAAAAAGAAAATTGCCTGCATTTTCATCTAGTCCCCAGAGGGGCCGCCTAACACACAAGCTAGTCCCGACCAGGATGATAAGCCGAAACTAAACTGCAGCTGACAGGCAATCCGAAAATAGAGCCTGCTCCGGCGACATCCTGCGGCGAATTCAATGCAACGGGGTCAGCCTCCGGACAGAAGGCAAAGTCTCTTTCTCTCTCGGTTGGCCCTGTAGCAAAGTTTTTTGCACTCGAATTACCAGAATGAAACCACAGCCAGATTCGGATTCAGAATCAGATACTGCAAGGCATTGCTTGCAGTCCCAGAAAGATGAGATGAAACTGCAGTTCCCTGGCCAGAAGGCCTTCTTTTCTTGCTGTTGACATTCTTTCGGCTTGTTTCTGATGGCACTTCCTTCCATCCGTTGGCAAATTGAAAACCGAAAACCGGGTCTAAACACGTGCCCGCAGAATAACAATAGAGCATAAAATGCTTTGCGTGTTTGCCTGGTTTGTTTGTTTGTTTTTATTTGCATTCTTTTTATAAGTATATATTTTGAAACTCATTAAAACACTGCTGTTGTTGTTGCTGTTGCTGCTTTTGCCCCTTCTGCCTATTCAAACAAACAACCGAAAAACAAAAAACTTTTGCTTTAATTTTAATGGACTCGGCCATAAAAAGCCGCGCGTCATTATAATGCGTTTGCATACTAAAAATTGTATCCAGAATCAAGCCCCAAATGACGGTCGACTGAGTCGTTATAGCTTTATAGACACGTGACAACAACAAGCCCCTAAAAACAGACAATGAAACTCTTTCAAGGGTTCGACCTTAAAAAAAAACCGCGACAGTCAAATGGCAAACAATAACTGGAAATCATTTTTCGGATACGAAAAACGGAAGAGAAAACCTTTTCGCGTAGGTGGCTCGCAAAAGTGGCTTATTGTCCTTTTTATGCGCTGCACTTCAGCCTGCGTTGAGAGTCCGCGTGGGCGTGAAGCACCTGGTCGCGTAAGCCCTGGAAATGTCAACAAAATCCCCTTGGCAACTGAGTGCTTCGAGGATATTAAAATTTGTTTTACTTAACGGCGGCAGTCGGACAAACTTTCCACGAGACCAGGAAAGGCGACGACTAACCAAGTCCAACCAAGAAACGGACAGACATCCTTGACAGACCATAAAAATGATGAGCTCTATAAAATAATTAAGACGATGCCAGGGAGATGATTGCTTTGTACAATGGGAGACGTTCTGCAAGTGCTTAATGGGTGTGGTGCATTAAATGTTCATAATGTGCAACCGGAAATACGGACTACAAAAGGGGGGCGCAACAACTTATACAACTGATACAATATACTGGGATACAAAACACACAATACTCAAACGGCAACAGAAACCTATTTAGGTATATTTATATATGTATATATGTGTAAAGAATGTATCTAGGACGCTGTATAGACCAATAATAATGCTCAAACGAAACTCAAATTGGTGCCAATTGATATATAATACAGTAATTGCTGGTTTGAATTTGATTTGCTGGCTCTAACCTCCGTCTCGATGATTTTCTCAATGTACTCGACGGTGCGCAGTTGAGGTCGCCCCGTAATGGGGCAGGGCACCTCCTCAGTGCGGCGCACAATCTTCTCATCGAGTATTTTCTCGCGTTCGCGCACAATGACTGGACCGTCGCTCGATTTTATGGCAATTTTGGGAAAGACTATTTTCGGCTGAGCCTGATTAGTGGGTAGACAATAAATAAGAGATAGAAGTAGGTGAGAAATTTAGATAGGGTATAGGTTTTAAATTTAAGGGAAATTTCCAATTGGGGGATACACTTCTCCCGGTCCCGGTCCCGATCTCGATATCGATTTTTGATCCTTCATTAGTTACAATCGAGAGTCTGAAGGGTATATTAGTATATCTTGCGGTTAGTTAGTGAAGCAAACCATGTAGCTATGTGGGTTCTTTTGCTCATATATTTGATTATGTTCGCAGGCAAGTTGCAGGCCATTCCTCCGCATCATCGGGCGCAAGTTAATGGATATGGTTTTTGGGTTTTGGCTATGGGTTCAGTTAGTTTTCGAGGATTTAACCCCGTGTTCAAAACTTACCTCGCTGGCTCTGGACTCGTGGGTAATCAGATCGTCGGTCATCTTGCGCATATTCTTGATCACATCCTGGGCCTCTACGGCACCCTGTTCCAGTGAACGAAGACGAGCTGCCCGCCATGAGGCGCGCTTCTCAGCACTAAGAATGATAATCAAAGAGTTAGCATATACATCTTTAAAATATATTATTTTGGGCAACTGATACTCAATCTGAACTCCAGCTTAAGCAAAACTAATTACAAAATATGACTATTATATTGTATTTACAAAGAGAGAGAGAGAGAAAGAAAGTGGGTGTGACTAAGACAGACACCGCTAACTAAAAAACAAAGATGTAGGTGTTCCAATTCGACATAGAGATATACATAGATATACATATACGGAAACATTGAGAGTTGTTTGTATTGCCTCGCGTGAGTGGGTGCATTCATTGGGTGTATCGCATATATTTGGTGTGGGTGTTCTATATAGTCCAACCTAAACAAGGGGCTAGTCTCTGGCATTTCGCACGCCCACAATTGGGCGACACTTGACCTGTAACCTTTTCTGGGGGTCTGGGCCTGGACCTGGACCCTGCACGCATGTCAACTCGTTGACCGTCACGCATTCAACTTACTTAATCATGGAACGGCTTTTGCCAGTGGGCGTAGTGGGCGAAACCGGGGACTCTTTATCGTCCTGCGCCTCCAGTTGCTTCAGATACTCCTCCACACTAAGTCCGGATTGGCGGGCAGCCGAGGCCAAGGCGCGCCGTTCGGCCTTTAGGGTTCTTATTGGTATACGACTGCCTCCTGGGGCGGTGGGCGAATCTGGATCCGGCTGATGATGAAGTTCCTCCTCCGGAATTGAGGGCTCTTCAGGCTGGGATTGCTGTTGCTGCTGCTGTTGCTTAAGACGCTGTTGCAATGCTGGCGGAATGACAACCTTGACCTTTGGCTTGGGCAGCAATGAGGGCTTGGGCGGATCAACTGGCGTGGGAGTTGCCTCGATGGGTTTAACTTTCGAATCCGACTTCTGCTGATGCTTCTGTTTGGGTATTTTGCTGGGGGCATGTGGCAATGTCGGCGCCAGACTTTGTGCGGTTCTGTCATAATTTTTGAGAAATGGTTTTCGTGTTCGAATTGTGCAAAGTAAAACAATAACAACACACATATATTTATTTAATCAAATAATTTGCTTGTCAAAACCAAAAGGGAGTTTCGGTGAGATGCGGTTAGCACGTGATATGAGCAGTTACAAAACATAATGACGTTAATTTCTTTTAGTCACACTTGTGGGTACGTGCCCTGGATTCCCTGAAAACTTTTGGCATAACAAGTCGAATTTGTTGTAATTAAAAACCAAGAAACATACTGTAAAGTTAGCTGCCAGAAAGGAGCAAAGGGAAAGGACTCCCTACCGCCAAACCCTGACAAAATCACTTTTTGAAAAACTTTGCCAACAAGTGCAATAACATGGCAGCTGGAGATTAGCGTGCCGAGGAGCCCAGGACCTTGTCTGCGGAGTCGTAAAACTTGCCAAGACCCGTCTCGCACTATATAACCATGGTCGTACATGTTCATGGAGCATAGCAGCAGGAGCAGCAGCATAGTTGTATGCAAAATTAATTTTAAAATAAAGCGCCTTAGAACTATTTGCAATGGGATTTTGGCAGGGTCTCGGGATCCTTCCTCCTGTCTGAACTTTGTGGCCTATCCGTTCGTTTGACTTTTTTATATGCCCCTTGCAGCCAAACTGACTTTTGTCTTTAACAAATTGCTACACACTTTCAATTTAACTTTAATACGAAAATATTCACACAAAGCCGGTGCTACGGCTACTATTACTACTACACCTACTACATACTACTACTACTACTAAGTCGCAAGGTAGCAACTTCTGCTTGAGTGATTTATGTTTTTCAATTTGAACGCCGCCGGGCTTCCTTAGTCCTTGGTCCTTGGAGCAGCACCAGCAGCAGCGAAAAAGGAGAGAGAAACTTTTCGTTGAAACACTCTCGCTACCTACGCAAATGTCATGCCTGAGGAATCTGGAGGAGCAAACCGGAATGAAGGAGCCAACTAAGGGTACGTGGAGTACATAGTTGGTAGCTGGGGATGGGCAACTCCTGACCCAGGGAATTGCACTTATAATATTCTCCAGGATTCCTTTCTTGCTCATTTCTTTGGCTCCTTTTATTCATTCATTTGTCCTCTCGACTTTTAAATGAACTTTGCCCCGGCACTCGTCCGCGCGCCTCCTAACAATAATCCCCAGTTGGTCTCTGGGATTGGACCACCAGCACCACAGTATTCCGGCGCGTTCAACTTTTGCAATTGACAGATTTATGCAATGCCCAATGAAACTTTCTCTTTTTTTTCTACTCGAAGTTCAGCTCTAAATGATTGTTTTTCATCTTTGCATTGCTAATTGCTCGACTCGCCCGCTCATTATGATATGAAAAAGCCAGAATAATTAAAACACCCCCAATAAAGTCAAGTGGCAATGGTAGGTAGTAAAGAGGTGGGTAGGTAGGTGGATAGGTAAATGATGAAAAAACCACAACCGAAGAGTGCTCGAATGTTGGTTAAAGTTAAACAATTATGCAAACGTGATGATTGGTACGATAAATAAATGGCCATAAAGCTAATTTGAATCATTCGCCTTTATTTCTAGTATAATAAATTGTACTTCTTTTGTATGCAAAATAACAAAGTTACATAAATATGTATGGCACAAATCGATGACAAATACGTACATATGTGGATGATTAATAATAATAATAATAATAATGGTAATGATAATGCCGTGTTTCCATAACCGTAGTCAGTAATATTAATACATTGTTAAGCAGTTCTTATTTATGTGGTTCACAGACTTTTAACATATAAATATTTATAAAATATATCGAAAGTTTCAACACCGTTTTGACTACCATAAAAACTTAACTAGCTGGAGACTTTAGGAATACATTTTGCTTGATTTCGGAATACGGATATACGAATTATTGGTCAGGAACATTAAACGCTAAACCTTTTTCAATGGTTACATAAAAATAAAACACCTGGACTCCCTGTAAATTATCTCAGTTATTTGTTTTTTTTTTTTCTTTCAATTAAATTCAAGATTTTGGTATGTTTAACGAATAACAATCGCGGTAAATGCAGTGTAATCCATGGATATACAGTCGTTAAGGCGATAAGTCGACATTAACCCGACAATACCTGCGTGTCTGACTACGAAATCGTGACTTTATCTACACACATTAATCTATGGCAATTTAAAAAGTGGCAAGGGGCCAAAGGTGACAAAGGTACGAAAAGAACACAGCGAACTAATGAGACTTCTTGTCCTGCTCTAAAAATCATTATTTTTAATAACAAACATTTTCAAAAATGCAAAATGCACATAAATTATGCAAGCAACACACAAGGCACTGGAGTTCATCTGGTCTGTGTGGGTGTTTAGTATTTTTGTGTGTGTGTGTGTGTGGGTTTGGAAGGAGGTCCTAGAAGTGCTGCAGGTGTGTGAGTGTGCAGGTTGTGAACTGAAAAATTTCAAGTGTAGCCAACTCAGACAGACTAGTTGTTGTTCGGAAAGTTGGGCAATTTGAAAAGAGAGAAATAATTAGGCTAATAAAATGCAAAGGGGAGAGACAGCATGTGGCATTAACACCATGCTCTTATCCATATCAGGTGTAAGGTGTGGGCGTGCCAGTGGGCGGGGAATCGTGGTAGTTGTCACTCTATAAAGTTCACATTTCAGCGTTAACATGTTACGGGTACGTATATATATATAGTATATATGGGTATAAAAAGTTTTCGTGTCGCAGTATATAAAAATGACTTTATATTGCAGATTAGTTGGTTTACTGCTCGCTTCATTAGGTCTAGCTTAAGTTCGCAAAAAAAGTCTCGTTCGAAATTCACACTTTACATACATAGTAAGATATATGGTATATATATAGGTTACACTTAAGGCTATGGTTAATAAACGTGTCACATTCGCACAAGTCGTAGTGAGGGTGTCAGAGCTTAGTTTAGTTTAACTTCTAAATACTGCTTCGATTTCTTCGAGTGGATTCCTGCAAAAGTGGTTTGGAAAAGCAGAAACAGAAAGTTTTTGTGGTGTACAATTAAAAAGGTGCAGAGAAAGAGAGAGAGAGTGTCGAGCTAATTGTAAAATAATAAACACACAATGCTTCTTGGTTTGCCAAGGAATTTCGCGATTCTTCTTTTGGTTTGGTTCTCTTTTTTAAGGTTTTTGGTCCACAGGGATTTCACTTTGTCTTTGGCGAAATGTAGCCGGGTTTTCCACGACTTGTAATTAATATTTATGTGACCAAAAAAGCAACAATCTAAACAAAACAATCAACCAAAACGCATACAACGACCAACGAAAAAAAAATTAATAAAATAGACTGAGAAAAGGAAAACAAAAAACATCATTAACGCCCTCATTTTTAGCTTAAGGTCAAATTATGCTTTTATATCAGACACACAGACAACGGCATGCCGATTTGCATACGCCGCGGACCGATCCATTTGAGGAACGAACGAAGCGCCAACGCCATAAAATATAAATTAATTTATGCGCAATCAACAAAACATAAATATTTTCATCTGCATAAAATCACAAAAACGTCCAAGAAGCAAACGGCCGCAAACATACACATTTAAATGTAAAAAAAATTTAATATCAAAATCCGAAAGAAGAGACACAAAAATACAAAATACACAAAAAACAATTCTGCGGTCGCCGCCACCGCGCCGCCATCTCAGTTGACCACTAAAAAATCAAAAATCAAATTGGGGAAAAAAAAACTCAAAAATCCACCAATTGTCTTGTCGCTGCCAATATTTCAGGGTCAACAGCAACCGCAACCGCAAACCAATTGAAAGCGAGAGCGAGGGTGTATATTCCGGCCATCAGAGAATAGTGGAATAATCGGAATAGCCGGCAAACCGATGGACCAACTAATAATAGTTCATAAATTATCAAACAATAAATTAGACGATTAATGCACGACTAAGAATTTGATTGCGTTTTGCCGACATCGAGACAACGTCTTTTGTCGTCACGGAAGCCAATTTGATGTCGCCAAGAAAAAAAATTCATAAACACGGATCTGGCGAGCCTTTTGTGTTCCACAACTTTTATAGATTTAGACGAGTTTAATTTGAATATAAATACAAATAGTTTGGAGCACACTACTGCCTTGCCGGCTAATTTGATATGGGTTTTTCAGCAAATATATATATAAACTAATATTCCACTTCTCATTGCCTTTTTTTTACACATTTTATGCATGGAAAAAATATATAAACAAGAACAGGAAAAAGAAGAACGAAACTAGTAGAAATTCTTGCTAGAAATTTATTACAAGGTTATTAACATGTTTATCTTCTTTTCCTCGTTATGAATTCCAAGGCTAGAGCCCAAGCAACATAATAACACACATTTCAATTTATTATATTATGCATGTAAAGTTGTAAAGCCAGCTGGCAGGCGGGTTTTTTGGTTTTGGTTGTGGGGATTGGGCGGAGGTTGGGGCATGGAACGGGTCGCCATTCGTTCCCGAAGTTTTGGCAGCTGGGCCCCAGCCAATTCCACTTCAAGGTCTTCTTGGCCAAGTTGACAAACAGGCGTCTAGTGGTGAAATTGCGCCGAATTCTCAGCTCTGGGGGGACTATGAAGTCATGAGATATTTATACTCAAAATTTGTATCAAATTAATGATTAGTTCTTGCGGCTTGATTTATGCGCAAGGTTAGAAAAACAAATGCCTCCGGTGATCGGTGGAGAGATGAAGGAAGTCTTGGAATATCAAAACATATAGAAGGGTTTAGGGCCAGTCCTTTGAAATTCCATCAGAACGCCTTTGTAATGAAATGTACATAAACGCTAAAGTGAAATTAGCCATTTCTTTTGTGTACACATTTCGCGTTATTTTCATAGCTCTATTCTTGGAGTAAATTTTATTCGCCAACACAAAGGACAACGGAGTCCTTAAATGTCGGCAACTTGTCAAGCTATATGATATCTGCTGTTGTCATACGTGTCTGCTTGTTTTTCTTTCTTTTCTCTCCGTTCTCAACTATTTGGATTCAGTGAATACCCTTATGACCGGAAATGTGGTAGCAGTTTCTGATCAGTCAATGAGTTTCATTGAATATCTTCTATCATTTCAAAACTTGTTAGAAACTTTCAACTTCAGGTTGAGCTTGCTGTTGTTCATGGCAAAGGTCAAGCAACTGATTTGCGGTGTATTGACCTGAGAAGGGTATTCCGACGGCGACTTCTGCTGACGTCTAATGGTTGCGCTCTTTTTAATGTTTTCCTGCAACAGCTTTGGGGCGAAATTGTATTAAATTACTTTGTTGTTGCTCATTATATAATGTTGTTAGAGTCAGCCACTGGAACATCGCGTGGGGACGCCGAGTCCTTCAACCAAGCGGAGCACATATGTGTGAAAGTTGGCTGATAAGCGCCAGCTCTGTGTACAAAATGGCTGCCATGGTGGTCGGGTAGGTGTATTGGTGGCTGGGTGGCTTTGGATGGCTGCTGCGGTGGTTGTGCGGAGACCACCTGGCATAAGCTTTTAGTTTCTTTCATTGTTCAGTTTTTGTTTGTTCACCGACGGTGGTTGGCACCTCCTCCTACGCACACCGGAAAACTAGTTGCCTTTTGACACAATGGCCTGCTGTGGTTGCTACGTGTTGCATGCCACCGACAGCGGTTTGAGGAGCCATCAAGTGGGCATCACCCACCACCACCTACTCCCAAAGGCGCTAATTATAATTGCCTGTTTCGAGCTGGGGGTTTCAGGACATTAAAATATCATTTGAGCCAGCGAAAGCCGGCGAGTGTCTTTTTATTCGTGTTTCAGACAGACACGACTCTGATTCATTCGTGGCGCTTAATTCACTGCAACATACTTAGCATAAAATCATCGATTCCCAGCGGATACTGAATTATGCGTACGTGTTGCGTGATGTTCTCTTGGTGGCTCGTTTGCCGATCCATTGCCGGGGACCCAAAGCGAATCCGAATCCGAATCTGAATCCAAATCTGAGCTGGCCCCGCCCAGTTGAGTGAGCAAACGCACAAAACGCAATTTGCGGAATACCCAAATGAAGTTATTCAATTGTAAAAACAGCTGGCATTGTGCCGCGGGGAATTCAAGTGGAGTGGATTGGAGTGGAGTAGGACGCCCACACGGAAGGAGCAGGAACAGAAACAGAGAGCGAAGGATGAAGGGCAAGGGTGAAGGCCTGGGGGGCCAACATTGCGTATACGCAATGCTTGGCAAAAATTAAGTAAAGCTGCAGCGGAAATACTTACACTTTTAAGTTCAGCAGCTCCGACTAGATTATCATATACACGACGGGATGAGATTTGAAGCCCACAGGGCGAGGTCTATATACTAAAAAGATTTCATCGCCAGAACCATAACATGTTTTTCCGTCATTTTTACTTCACCTCCGTCTCGAGATCCTTACATTCTGTTTACTTTTTTATTTTCCTTACTTTTTTAAGTAGACTAACGGCTGAGAGTCTGGCTGCGATTTACGAGTCCATACAACGCTTAAGTGCTACATAAAACTTAAACTGCTTAGGGCTTACTCGCTTATAATCGTATGCATGTGAGTGTACGAGTGTGTATGGCGTTGGGGGGAAGTGTACTTACTATTAAAGACCTCTCAGCCATAGATCGCTATCCCTATTTAATAACATACTAAGTCTCAATGATGATTAGCAGCTCCGTCAGTTGACTGCATGGATAGTAAATAAAGTGTGTATGGTATTTTGTGGGTTTTTTGTGTTTGAGTTTGTATGAGCGATTGAAGGCGTCTAAACTTAAGAGCAACCCATATTTTAAAGCAGCTGTAAGAGAACCGGCACCAGAACCAAACCAAAAGCCAGCGAAAAAACCAATTGACCAATAAAAACTTAAGAATTTAACTTCGTTTAAAAGTATTATACTAAGCAAATGCACAAACACCGTGAAAGTAGTGTGAGTATCGTATATATGTGTGTGTGAGAGAGAGTGTATGGTTATCATAATCGCATAGGGTAAAGGGTGATTGATTGATTGATTGATTGGTTGGGCGGGTCGTGGGTGTGAATGTGTGTATGTGGGGCGTGTCTGTGCATTCAGATGTAACATAAAAAGCGCATAATGCAAGCACCAATAATCCGAAATGAGAGCTTCGCACATCCGCACTTACCTCATGTCCTCCGCATCATCCAAGTGCCCCAGAGCGGCGTTGTCAACGGAATCTCCGCGAGCTATGGCCTCCTGGTCGCTGTCATCATTATCCTCGCCACTGCTCTTGCTGTTGCCATGGCCCTTTACTCCAGCATCCTTGTCAATGTTGTCGTTGGCGGCATCCAGTAATCTGGAATTTTTATCACGGCGCAATGTTGCAATTTTCCTCTCCTCCTCCTGCCTAAGTTTTTCCACTTCATCCTTTGACAGGAATGAGAAAACTTTGTCTGCAAGCAAAAACAGAGTATATAAAATCAGTGTGAGCTAAGGACATCGCCCCGCTATTAAGTTAGGAAATTAAATAAATAGCGATCCGATGCAGCTTAGCCAGTTAGCTGCCTAAGTGGATTCCTCTTCCCTCTCCTCTCTTCACCGCTGTAGCTGCTCCAGACTTTGTCATGCAAATGGCGTTGGAAACCGTGTTTTACCCCCTTTCTAATTAAGCCAACCGCCGAACGAAAGGTGACGACCAACGTTGAGGTGGCTTGGCAACCACAGATAAGTGGTTTGATTGACAACTTGGGCCAAGAAGTGGGATTTAAGTGGCAAGACCACTAGCTGCTTGGGCAAAGTGCAAAAAGACATTCCCAAGCCAGGACAAGCCAAGCCGAGCTACCCCTTGGCACTCATTCAATCATGGAACTTTTCTGGCTAACCATTGACTCACCTGTCTTTTGTGTGGGCTTGTGTTGATCCTCCATGGCTGACTCAAAGAAGCGTTTTTTATCGGAAACCGATTTAGGCACTTTAGTCGGTGTTGGCTTAGTTGTGAACTCCTGCTCGACTCCGTCCCTGCTGGCAGGTGTTGACTGGAAAATGGCAAAACGTTTTTGTTAGCAACTCAACGAGCACAGAGAAAAGAGAGCAAGGATTTATTAAACGAAAGAAGAAAAAAATCAATAAACAGATAAAGCAGAGACGCTGGCAGCCCCAGCCATATTTTCAATTAAATGACTGGGAAAAACTGCAAATTTCAAAGCGCGCGCTGTGAAAAATCCAAAATGGCCATAAAGAAAATTGATGGCACTACACAAGTTTATTAAAAAGGCAGGCAGACAGGCAGAGAAACAGTCAGGCCTTCGGTCTGTCCCAAAAAGGGGCGTTCCGGTTTGGGTTTAGCAGGATCAGCCATATAGGCTGGCTCAATCATAAAGTGACCAAGCCGACATTTTTGGGTCTGTGCCTCTGTGTTCCGCACTCGGGGCATATAATTTACAGTGGGGTGGTGGCTGGCATCGGATTGAATTGGAGAGGGCGCAAATTACAGCTGCGTGGGTTAGAACGGAACGAACCAAACCGGAGCTGGCCATTTATCACCCAAAGTCGTGTGTACTGTCGGTTTTATGCTTTCATGCAATTCCTCGTGCTGGGCAACATGAGACACAGTAGCCAGATAAAGCCAAGCCGGGACGGTGGTGGATAGTTAGTGTGCCTGCAGAGCAACGATGACTGCGACTACGACGACAAAGTCATTAAATGGCAGCAGTCGAGAAATGGGCAAAAGGGGCAACCAGGGGACTCAGACGAAACAAAGGCAAACAGGGCAAAGGCCAGCGTTAAACTGCACAAATTGCAACCTTATACGAAGCTAGTAGGGTTCGACCCTCCAGCAAGGACCAGTCGAGAGCCAGACCAGTCCGACCATCACCCAGACCACACCAGTCCAGAGAGCTCATAAATAAACCAAGACGTAGAACCAAGGGAGCACGGGTGGAGGGCACGACAAGTGCATGGGGAAAAGTGAAAGCAGCAGGAGTGCCAGCTTAACTGAGCTGTATTTTTAGAAGAGAAATTAATTTCGTATCGGATTTTTCGATTTTCAATTAAAGTCAATGCGCAGAGGCAACAACATGGAGGAGTAGAGTAGCCGGACTGAACTGGAGCTTGGTTTATCAGCATCAGTCTGCAGCCGGAGGAGCTGGACGAGCTGGAGGAGCTAGAGGAGCTGGAGAGCTGCCTTTTGCTCTGCTCAGCAGTCCAGCTAATAGGAATTTATTGAGCCATGAAAGTGTTGAGAATGTGTGTGTTAACCGATACCAGTGTCTATGTATATATACGTGTGTGTGTGTGTGCATTTCAGCCCTGGCCAGCGCATTAAAAGCCAATAAGCCATTGAATTATTCAGACCATGCGAGCAGTGTTAGTGGGTGAAAGATTTTCGTCGTATGTGTACCGGGGTGACATCAACGATAAGGCGATGATAACTCTTATTATCGCGGGGCAATTACGAGTACTTTGTGATAAGATAAAAACAAAGAGAACAACGAGATATGGGACATTAAAAAGGGGTAACCAGTCGAGAGCGAAATCAGTGCAGGGCCAGGTGTCAAAGCGTAAGCTTGCTAACCAGTATGGTTCCACTTGTCCAATGGGGGTCACGGTCCAATTAGATAAAAGGCTAAGTAAGTCAAGGTCACTGGCCTCCCATTGGACACAGCGGGTGGGCTATCGTTCTCATTTAAGCAATCGTTTTTTCGAGTGCTCAACATTGTTTACACAATACAATAAACAAGGCCAAGAGGGGCGGTTGTGGACAACAAGACAAAATGAAAAGAGCCCACGAAACGCAAATAAGAATAATACGCAATGTTTATTTGCCTTAAGGTATGCAATTAAAAATGTTCAGCTTGCTTCTTTGTCTTGATAAAATAAATTAGCATTAAAATCAACTTAGCAGCGCTACGGCAAAATTAACTTTATAAATTGTAAAATTGTGTTTTCTGTCTGTTTTTCTGTTATTTCGTTTATACTCAGGTATTTTTCTTCGTTATACTACTTATTTATTCGTCGGTTTTTCGTGATGGTCTCTTTTTTTTTTATTATTTTCATTTTCGTTTTTTACTTTTGCAAAACAAAAGGCAATAATAAAAACGGGCGGCAGCGGCGGCATCAGCGGCAGCAGTAGCAGAAATTAATGGCCCGGTGGGCGTGGTAACTGCAGGTGGGCGACCATAAGCAGCCAACTGTTTCAATCAACGTCAAATTAAACTTGGCCCGAGACTGAGGGAGTCGGCAGGTGAGCAAGTGACAGCCAGCAGTAGGAGCAGGATCAAAGGGGCAGGAGCAGTAGCAGGAGCAGGGAGGTGGTGCCCATTAAACTTCAACCGCTTGCTGCTCAATTTCAACTGCAATTTTGTGGGCAACTAGAAGGGTAGGGTGTGGGTGCCTTGAGCTTAATGGGGGTCGAGGGCGTCTCGAAAGTCAACAAAAAGTTGCATCTAATTAGCAGGAAAGGTGTGCCACCCGGTCTGCTGCAAGTTCAGCAGTTCGGCACAGACACGACCCTCAAATCAATCAATTTAAATTGCGAGCGAGTGAAATGAAAATATTGAAAATTGCAGTCGATGCCAGGGACAGACAGAGAGAATAAGGCAAGGGGTTGGGCCATTTAATTGATGGCAAAAAGGTGTTAGAATTTAATTAAAATGTATGAGCAGTGACATGAGGCAGAGGCGAAAAAAAAGAATAACGAGGGCGGCAACAAGAAGGTTCTGCGGTCACCTTAGCAGCAATTAAAAGCATAGTCATTGTCGCACACCAACCGAAGGCAAGTGGTTTGCGGTTGGGTGTGGCGGTCTACGATTTTTAAACAAGAATAAATCTAAAATCATACGTTGCGGTATATAATGACTGGATATTTTTAGGCCATTAATTAAAATTGGGAAAACAGCACGAAGCAGAAATAATCTTTTAATACTTGTATATGCAATTTGTTTTGTCTCTTAAACAGAATTTGTACTGATTTTGCTGGATAAACTATTATTTTGGAATTTTTATATTGAAGACTCGATAAAGAATGAAATGTATAAACATTATTTAGTATTATTCATTAAAATAATGAATATTCTTAAACAAATATATTCTTTTTTAAAAAAGTGTGTTATGTTTTTATTTACTAAACTGAAAATGGGCGACGTGTCTTTGGAAGTACTTTGGCTAACTGTTTAGATTTATTCTTAGATTTAATTCCAACCCAAAGTTTACTGGTTAACAAAAATCAAAGAGCCTGAGACTACACAGTTGTCTCCTTGCCAGTGGGCGTGGTGGGTGTTCTTGGCGTAGGGGGTTGCTGCCACGCCCCCGCCAATTGCGGTTGGGACTGAGAGCGCAGTTTAAAACTGGCCATGCCTCTTAGACCATGGGGCTTTTGGGCCACCGGCGGTGGGGCGGGAGCGGTACGCAATTTGGTCGGTTTCAGCGGACGCTTGGGAGGTAAAGGTGGGGGAGTGGGCGACTTGGAGGCTCGGCAGGAAACCGAAGTGTCACTGCTACGTCGCGAATCAAAGAACGAGGTGTTGCTGTAAATGGCCTCCTCCTCGATGGTCGAGTAGATCTCCTCGGCCGTCTCGTAATAACTGGGGTGGAGACCACCTCCAACTCCACGTCCTCCTCCACCTGCCGAGGACGAACTGTTGTTCAGCAAAAGCGAAGAGCTGGAGGAGCCAATGGAAAAGGAACTAGTGCTGTGGGCCAGCGAGGAATTCGAGATGCCAACACGCGCCGTGGTCATGTTTTGGTAATTGCTATTTGCGTCGGGGCTGACCACAATTTCCGAGAAGGTCGGGAACTTCATGCCGGCATACGAAGGCGTGGGTGAGGTCACGGTAACGGGCGGAGGAGGTGGTGGTCCCCGTTTGGGTCTGCCACTCGATTCACTCACCGATAACTGCGGCGATTGCAGGTAGAGCATCGCCGGCGAAGACTTGTTGGCCACTTGGTCGCCGGGCACAAGTACCAGGTTAAAAAGGGGCTGTCTAGGGTCAGGGGTCGAAGAGGGGGAAGCGGGCTTTAGGGTGAGCGTGTTGGGCTGCTGCGGTTGCGGCAGACTTGCATACTGCACGGGCAGTATCTGGGCCGTGGGAAAGATCTGGGTGGGCGACCCGGCGACCAGCAGCTGTCGTTGCGGCGAATCCATCAAGCGGTTAGTGGCGCCACCAGCAGCAGCATTGGAAGAACAAGATGGAGACGTGGATGCGTTAGCGGTTAGTGGTGGCGGAAACTGCGGCGGCTCATGCAAATGACGTGTGTGTTGGTGGGCAGGCGGTGTGGGCGGTGGTGGCAATGGCAGGCTGTCAATGTCGGTGTCGAAAGTATCTAGGAAGGGATTCGTTACCGAATATCCGCCGCCAGCAATTGGAACAGGTGGTGCGGGTTCATAGGGTGCCCGCAACTGATTCCTCAGCTCATTTTCCCGCAACAAATACTCGCGGTGCTCCTGCGGCGAAACGAGAATATTGTCCGGTGAGTTCTCGTGCACGAACTCATGGGGGCGGAGCTGCGATGGTGTGGGTGGCAGAGCCTCCATGTAGATTGACTCCTCCGCCTCCCGCAAAGTGGGCGTACTCGGTAACTTGGGCAGGGTGGCAAAGTTCACAGGCGGCGGTGGTGGTGATTCCCTCGGGCGACTCGGTTTCGTCTTGCCCACCACCCTCACGGGAACTTTGGCCTCCACGGGATGGATCGTATTCGTGCTGGCGTCGTGCTCAAAGACCGTAAAGTCACCTTGGCCCACATCGCTGTTCTGGAAGGTTTCCAGCGCCACATTCCGCACCAGATCCGCCTTCTTTAACTGCGGCTTTGGAGCCACGGGTGGAGGTATTTTTGGTCGAGTGCCTGTTAAGTTCTCCGTGGATTTGGAGATCACGGTATTGGGTGTGCTGCGCCCACTGGACTGCGACTGGGATTGCTCGAGTAGATCCTCACTGGACCTCGAGGAGCCAAAGAAGAAGTGTTCGCGTGTTGAACGCGGAGAACGAGGTGATCTGCTAACTTCCTTGGCTATCCTCGTGTACTCATCATCCTCGGATGTTTGATACCGGAAGGGATTTTCGCGGTCTAGTTCACCAGGACGATCTGGCGAGGTGGCCCGTGAAACACGCTGCAATTGGGGGGACTCTACATCACGGATGCGAGCCACTGCGGGCACAATGGGAACTGTTTTTTCCAAAGTGGAGCACGGACTAGTGGCTCGCAGGATGCCCTTCCGCGGTAGACGACTGCGTCCCGATCGAGTATCTTGCTCCGAATCATAGGCCCTAGTATAACCATCTGGTGTGCGAGAGCGGGATCGCTCGTAATCCGATTTGGAGCGCTCATCGCCGCTGAGGTCAAAACTAACAGACTTTCGATGTCCTCCATATTCAGGGGTACTGCGTCCCGATCTTGATGGCTTATATGGTCTACAATCACTTTCTGAGTCGCTGGTATAACGACCACGTCGGCGGTCGAAGGTATCAGAATCGGTGTCGGCATAGGATGGCGGTGACTGCACCAGCGGTGGAGAGCTCTCGATGTCCTCTTCGTCCTCCTCCAGGATGGCATCTATGTCGTCAAACTTTTGGGAACCTGAAATATCTTCATCCTCCTCTTCATCGTCATCGTCCTCGTCATCTATTATATACACGGGCTCTGCCTTCTTGGGCACCGTTTGGGTGGCCTTGCCAGAAGTTCGGTTCTCCTCCTGGGACTCCAGCATCTGCTGATAGGAGTTACGTGCTCCGGGGGCCAGGCGTTCAGGGGTCTGGGTGCCACGTTGCTATTGGAGTTTGAATTGTTGGTGGATTGCTCATTTAGTTCGATATAGATTCGTTTTAGTTGGGTTGTGGTTTGGTTTTTTTTTTTCGGGTGCAACGTCACCACACACAAGCTAGGAACACAAATTGCAGTGTGCAGCGTTAATGGTGAGTGGGTGTGATGGTGTGGTGAGGGATTCTTGGTAAGACAGTGAGGATGAATCGTGGGTGTTTTTATTGTTGTTTGTTTTTGATGATGCAGTGCGAACGACACACACAAAAGTTGTACGATTCTGTTTGGTTTTGTTTTTGGGTGCTCCTTTGAAACCTGCGTCCATTAGCCAATTACCAGTGATTTTCTGCTTGATGATGAGGTGGGTGACTGCGACTGCGACTGCGACTCTTCTGGCCAATTTGCTGGATGATGATTTTGGGTTGATGAACTCGGCACACGATGGCGATAGCGAACAGCAGCAGCGATACGAAACATACAGAAATATAGCAGATACGGAGACAAAGACGATTCACACGAGGCAAAAAGGAAAATAACGAAATCAAACGAAACGAAAACTTTCTTGAATAAAACTTCTTGGCCAAAAACTAAGGAACTTCAGAAATCCAATCTTTGCTTCTCCACGAACCGAAATGCAATTAAAAGTTTGACCCATTTTTTGCGGTTTTTTACGACAAATACATTAAGATTTATTGACATCAAAAATGCACACTTCGAATTCCAATTAGCTAGCATTAAATTTAACTATCATTAGGTAACAACGAAAATGGGAAATGGAAAACGCAAACCTAACCATTCTGCCAAGAATAATCAATTATATAATAGGTGTGAATTCGGTTTCAACTATGTGGTAACAGTTTCGTAGATACTTTAACAAAATATCCCTAGTGTAGGTATAGCTTGGCTCTTTCAAAAGGTTTTAACAAGATGCCCTTTATCATCGGCTTTAGTTTTAGTTGTTGTCAGAAATTGTCTCCTCTCTTTTTTTCTTGAGTATTATTCAGTTGCATAATTGGACCTTTTGTGTGTGCTTGCCACACATTGTTACACATTTAGTAATGTATATGTATATATATTGTGGGTGTCATCTGTTTGTGTGTGTGTTATATGTAGTAAGCAGTTTTGGTTTCACATAGTATAAACATCGAAAGACTATATGTATAAGTGGAATACTTTCTGCCGCAAAATGGCGACAACTTTAGAGCTCTCCGCGTTGATAAATACATTTACACATTTTTGGTAGTGAGTTCCTTTTATCTCAACAATTGTCAGGGATGTGTGTATTTGTGAGTGTGTGTGGAGATTGGGGTGTGACTTTGTTGCTGTTAGTGTTGATAGGGCACACATTAACAATTGGAAGGGAACTGGAGACAGAGATCTAGTGAGAAGACATTGAAACCATTTGCTGAGCTGAGAGCATTAAGATTTTGATTGAATTTCGAGTGGGGGAAGTTCGGGAGGAAAGCGCTGCTATAAGTAGTAACTCTTGGCCCTTTGAACACGCTTCCTCAAATCCTAGTTTTTTTCTGTTTCCTTTTTCTCTTGTATAAATTGCAACTCTTTTAGTACAAATACAGTAGTGCCTGCTGTTGGTGCACACTCAAGCTGTTGCCTCCTGTCCTTTTACTTTGGTTGCTAGCATTTGTATTCTGTCAGTTTAAACTAAATATTCAGTCTTATGGTGATAAACATCCGCTTGTTAAGCAATGCGCTGCTCAGCAGTAAGCTGCAACGAAATCGAAGGCGGGCGAAAAAACAACAGGACATAACCAAAGGAACAGATTGCAAAATGATTGTCAAAAAAACAATAAGAAAAGTTATAAATAAAAAAGGAAAATAAACAACAATTCGTTGAAAAGCAGCGTATAGCGCACACATTATTGAAGGATATTCAGGAGAATGAGAGAAGAACAAGGACGAGAAGAAGATAAGAGAGACGTTTTAATGGAAATTTCTTTCTGCAGTTTTTGAATTATTTACATTTACATTTATTATACGTGCCATCTATATAGTAAGTATATGTTTGTATATATATAGGTGTGTAATGTATGCCTGATTTCATTCCCTTTTTTTTTTTTTTTGCTTGTTCCCTTCTGCTTTCAAATTCAAATGGGGCATGCTTTAAAGAGCCAACAACAAACAGAACAACATCAACGTTAACAATAATAACAATGCCGCCTACGCAAAGGTAACAACAACAGTAACGGCAACAGTAAAGACGCAAACTGAAATGAATATAATATGAAAGTAGCATAAATAACAACAAAAACAACAACAACAACCATAACAAGAACAATGATCTGAGTGAACCCGGCTAAAAAAGGACCTTCTCAGAAAGCCAGGAGCAACAGCAGCCAATATGCTAATAAATAATAAATTGTCTGCTGCCATATCAATAAATGTGGGGCCATTCTACTCCTCCGCCAAAGGAGCAATGGAACAGAGCTCAGAGGAGCTGAGAGCAGCTAAGCGCAAGACCGATACATGCAGAACACATAACTCATACGCCCCCTGGTACACGCGGCCCACAAAGATAGGCTATGATTTTTTATTCATTTTTAATTCAAATGCAACTGAAAAAAACACTTTAAAGCAGCAACAAAAGAACACACGAAGTGGTTATGGAAATCGATGCTGCCTGTGTTTGCTTACATGAGAGAATGAAAGTGGTGCTATACTCGTATGCAATGATTATTTTGGTTTTAGTTACAGTCAGTAGGTTTAATGGTCAGATGCTATCATGCTGTTACCTGTGAATTCAGTTGAAAATACAGATTTTGCTTTCTCTTCGTTGTTTTTTTTCTTTTTTCAACTGGCATCACATGCCAAATTTATCACAACAGTTTTGTGACCTCTGTGGTTTGTGGATATGGCTGGTGAGGTGTTTTTGATTTATCATGTTTTTTTTTTTTGTATATATTTTAAAATTTTTGACACATACACACAGTCACAGACACTCCAGGACACGCAATGTCAGTGACAGGACAACAGCATTAGTGAAGTTACACAAACACATAACAAGCTGAATACGAAACAAAAATCAAGTTAAGAGATTGGTGGGGTTTAGAGTTGGGTTTTGAGTTGAGGTTTTTTTTTTACTGGGATGGCGACTGTCGGTTCGTGTTAGCTGTTACATGGGTGTATCTGTATTAGGATGTGGATCCTGTGTACCCGAACACGCACACGGTCGGGCATTTTACACAAACGAAAAGTACACGCACAGATATTGAAAGACGTACACACACAGACAATAAAGCCAAGACAAGAGACGTGCATCCACCGCCAGGTGGCTACATACCTGTAGTTGCGACTGCTCCTCTTCATCTTTCTCCTCAGAGCTCGTTGGCGTCTGTGTCTGCACGGCCACGGCAGGAGGAACTGGCACTGAACCTGCCGAGGATGCAGGAATCGCTGGAGAAGGAGCACTGCTACCAGAGTTCGGTGACTCGGCTCCCGCAATGGGAAGAGGTGCCGCCGGCGTTGTTGGGGTGGTTGGATTCGTGTCGAGCGTGTGCTTCGATATGACAACCGTCGTCGTCTTCTGTATCTTATCCTGCTCGTGATGCTCCGATGGTGACTTGGGTGGCACGGTGGTGAAGGCGTCAGCCGCGCGTACAATTTCCAGCACCTAATTTGCAAACGAAACAACGCGGCATAAGTTTTCTCCAACTGTCCCAAGGCCAGTCGAGTCACTTACCTTCTCCTGGGTGCTCTTCTCCTGACCCAACGGAGCCAGCTGCGTCTGCTGCTGCTGTTGTTGATGGGCCTGTTGTTCTGCGTGAATGAGCGCCACGGTCTGGGTGGCTGGCGTGTCCGCCGTTGTTAAATCAGCGGTTGCCACTGGTGTGGGCGTAGGTATGGGAGTCGTGGAGGTGGCAGCAGGTGGTGTAGGCGATGAGGCGCCATGCACCATGGCAGCAGCTGCTGCCAGGACCGATTGTCCAGTTGGCTGCTGTCCATCTGGTTTCTGCGAGGCGAAAACGTCAAAGTCCTTTTGGGGAAAAAGGAAAGGAGCATTTTAAAGTCATTCCCTTGGTGCTCCTTAATTTCTTTACCCACCTGTCGCAAACGGTCATCTTCTTCGTGGTCCAGACTGGATACACTCTGACTCTGGCTCAATTCCGAGCCCGTTTCCGAGGCACGAGAGCCTGGGGAATGGAGCAAGAATAAAGTAATTTAAGCAAGACTCAACTGGGGCGTTAAGCTCACGATTACGTACCTTGGCGACTGCCACCGCTGCAGGATGCAGACGAGTTGAAGCCAGTGCTCATGCCGCCGGCCTGGCCAATGGAATGAATTAAATTGGACTTGTCGTAGCCTTTGCAGACGACCAATTGAATCTCGTTGCCAGCGTTGCGCAGCACATTGACCGCATCCTGGTGCGAGGCACCCAGCAGCGAGTGTCCATTAACCTCCAGCAAACGCATGCCCACCTGAAGGAGAAATTGAGGAGGAGGTGGAGAAAAAGTTTCAATCGAGTTTTCCCCAGACAACAAAGGTGGGTGAGGCGTCATCGCCCAAGACAGTAGCACTACGTTACCTTAAGCCTTCCGTCCCGTCTGGCAGCTCCGACCGAGTTAATTTTGGACACGAAGACACCCTCGTCGGAGGGATCGGCGGGATTACCACGCTGTCCATTCAGACCTCCCTTGATGTGCATCCCCAAACGTTCACCCTCCGCCTTGCTGAGTAGCACTTCCTGTGATTCGCAATTAACAAAGAGAAAGATGAAAATTAGCGAGGACTCGGCTTAAATGCTAACAAATAACAATCGGGAATCTCTTTTGGGTCTAAAACAAAGCAACAAGAGTAGGAAAAAGCATTTGACTAATTGCAAAAATATCCCCTCTCCAAAGTCAAGAGGAGCTTACCTCTGTTTTTACATAAACTACTTCTATGCTCTGTGCGTATTGAATTTGATTGTGAGCAGTGGCAGAGTATACAAAAATCGATTATAGAGGAGTAAGAAGTAGATTCAAAGCGTATATATATACATATTTACAATACAAAAGCAGTCTAATGTGGGTTAGTAAGGAGCTTGCTGGCCCATTAAACTTACCTGGAATCCTGGTGGCAGTGGATCGTGTTGAATGGTCAATTTGATATCATCACCTGGCTTTAGGAGCTCGAGAACAGCATCCTGATGTGTGGCCTTGGAAACATCCGCATCGTTGACTTTCAATATGCGATCGCCCATGCGCAGCTTGCCGCACTTGGAGGCAATCCCGCCGGGCACAATCTGTCGGATTCAAGAAGGGAGACCCCAAGGGCAATTGTTATACTCATAAATGGCCGAAAAAACTTGAAACTTTTGAACTGGCAGCTGGCTTAGTTGGCTGCTTATAATGAAGCCAACGTCCGAGCCACTGCATTCTGAACAATTGCGCTCGAGCAGCAGCAGCTCATTTGCATTCGCAAGTTGCGGCCACTCGAGTGTTTTAATTCGAAAACTTTTTCCAGCTGCTGCAGCAGGTAATTGTTAGTTAATACACCCTCTCTTATACTTACGTGCGATATGAAAATGCCGGGCTCTCGAGTGCCAAAGGGCACACAGGAATGATCCGTGCCGCCAATGATGCTGAATCCCAAGGAGCCCTGATTCTTGGGCAGCACAACCTCCTACAGAAACAATGGAGAAAAGTGTTAGCACATCACAAAATTAACACAAATCAATGGGCCTATCGCTAAGAATCCTATTGAGTCTGCCGTGTATTATGGTGATCCATGGATGAAGGGTGCTTATGTGCTGGCATTTAATGGTGGTGCAAAATTGTTGGTGATATTTACATTTAAATTTACACAAAAATATATTAAACATTCGGCGTAGGGAAAACCCTTTTATGGGACATAAAACCAAAGACAAGCCAAACACCAAATAACAAAGTCATGCAATTAAGTCAAGGCATTCATTAAACATCAAAACCCGAGTACCGAATACCGACAGTGTTTCAAATTCAATAAATAATGAATAACTTTTGTGCTTTTCTTATGAATAACTTAATTTTAGATTAAACAACATGCAGGTTTGGAATGAGCGCATGGAACACCCACTTTGCACTTTCACACAGATTTAAACAAAGCTTCTGTGGCTCCTGTGGTTGAGCTGCTCAAGCTAAAGTGCTGGCATATTGAGACATCAAAGCATAATATTTCTGTTTCATATTCATTGTCGGGAAACCCGAAAAACTATCTCCTGAGAGAGACCTGACAGTTGCACAGACACATCCACAGATGTTCATTCGTGTCAAGATGCTAAATAAACACATGTACCTGGCTAACTTCTACTAACTTTTGCCAATTACCTCGGAGAAATTGAATTCTTTCGAGTTCGAAGCCATCGGATAACTGTCTCTGCAGCAAATGGGAAACTCAAAGGGAGGAAAATAAATTAAAAACAATTAAATATTTTATTTAGCATTGCCCCTGGTGAGTGTTTACCCTCACAATCACACACACGGATGGAGATTGCCAAGGCAAACAGAAATATTTAAAGTTTACTTATGGCTTCAACTCGGCTGCTCACTGCTTACTGCTCACAAAAATAAACGCAGTGGCAAACTGTGAGGCATTTAGAGTATCTAAATCTTTTTTCGGCATGCGCTCACTTTATTATTTAAGGATGTTTGCATGTTGCATAGTTTGTTGGTTTACTTATTTATGCTGCAGCCAGTGGCAAGTGACAAAGCTTGCCACATGCACAGAGTTCTTAGGATTTCTTGCCGGGATTTGTATCACGTCGGCAATGACACTCGAGTGGCTCTATGGGAACTGAGTGAGTAAACCGTTCTGTCGTTCAAAATGAAGGCGCTTTGCTCGTCACTTCAATAGATTCAGTTACTGCCAAAGGACCCAAAATATTCAAGTGTTGGCCTGGCCCTCTTAAATCATACAAGTACTTACTAACCAACAAAAAAAAAAAAAAAAAAACGTTTAAAAACCCCTTGAAAACATTAAGGCCAATACCCAGTTAAGAAAGGATTATTTCAAGTTATTTGCAGAAAAAACATAAACCAGGGTTTTTGTGAGAAAGATAGAAGATATATTTAGTGTTAGGAGAAAGAAGTTAGCTTAGTATAGAGGGAAAAACCATGCAATCTTCTTTCACAACTAATTGATTAATCGTTAGCAGTTTCCAGCTCCTTGCCATAACCAACTTAATCCAATTCCATATCAACTGCTACTCAATTAGTCGGAGCAATCACAACTCTTGTAAATGTGCATGTTTTGCATAATGCTTGGCATGAAAACATATGTGAACTCGACGCCTCCAAGGCAGACCCACATCAGACTGAGGGGCCTCTGACCAATAGTTAAATCAAATCGTTTGCAAAACGCACAAATATTTATTAAGCAAATTCAATTGAATATAGGACGCGCGCGGCCAATAAGTCAAAAGTGTGCCAATTGTGGAATATCAAATTATAAATTAATTTAAATTATAAACAATTTTGGTGTATGGTGTGCATCGAGTGTGTAGGGGTGGATTGTGCGTGCTTGTGCGGTGACGAGAAAAGCTCGAATTCCGTGGTAGATACTCTACATAGAAATATATATATATATTATTTATACATATTTTCAATTCCTCTAAATATAGGGATAAAGTGTGTCCGTGTCCGGATAGCTTTGCTTGTGATTTTTACACAACGATTCTTTAACTCTTGGACTCTGGCAGCGACTGGCTTTTAGTGTATGCGGGATGTGGAGATAGTCACCTCACTGATCAGGGGTTCCGCCAACTGATTGTCGGTGATGCGCGTCATCACCGTCTCCGTGAACGTGGACTTGGTGATGGTCTCGGTGACGCGGCCAAGTTCGGTGGGTGCAGCCGGGAACATGGGCAGATCTGGCTGTGGCTTATTCACATTCACAGTGACGGCGCTCACGCCCACCTCGTTCGGCCGGGCCACATGCACCTGATGCTGACTGCCGCCGCTGAGGAAGTGTGCCGGGATCATCGCCTGAAAATCATCGCTGGTCAGCGGTCGCAACGAGGAGGGCTGCTCAAGGTCGTTGGTTCGGGTATATACGTTGGTGGTTACGTGGTTTTTGGATTTAGCAAAGTATTCGGAAACAATCGGTTTTAAGCAAGATTTTGTTTTTTTGTATTTTTTGGAGGGGGTGGTGGTTGATCAGAGAAAAAGAAACAAAAATATGTTGGTTTTTGTAAATTTTGGTATCACTTTTGATGGGCTATGATGCTATCGTTAGATCTATAACTAAGCTAACGTGCCTAACTATGATTATCATTAAATTATATACAATCCTGCCAATGCTCCCTACCATTTTGATTTTTCTTTTTAGATGGGTGCTCAGAAGCTGGGACACAAATCGGTGCAATCTTAGTGTCTAGTATCGGTCGATTTAAATATATATTTCAACTATGTATGCAGAATGAGCATATAGCATATAGAATATTGGAAGGACAAAACAAGGCGCACAGGGCACATGCAAAACAAACACAAACAATTTCGTTAAACATACGAGTAAGATGAGCAAATATATAGTTCTAGCAGCTAGTGTTATGAGTAATTGATAATCTGGCGGAGAAATGGATTAGCACATATTAGGAATCTTAAGACTATTTAGTGTGTTCATGTTTATGTTTTTGGAATTTCTTTCATTGGGAGCCAAATATCAACAACAATTTGCGTGGACGACTTGCGCTGCAGTTTATTAATAAAGAAGTTTAAATTTTGTTACTTACCTTCTTAGCTGATTAAAGAAAAGGGTAAGACACTGCAGCGCAAGCTTATAGATATTCAAATTTTATCTTATTCCTACAGTCTGATCATGAAAAACAAAAAACGCAACGTAACGAGCTTATGGGCAACATTAAAATGACGTGCAACTGGCTAAACAGAAAACTAGTCTAGAATCTATGAAACTACTGAAGGAGAAAGTTCCGACTTGGCCTTACCTGAGCCTCGCCAGAATCACCACTGGTGGTGGAGGCCGCTCCAGTGTCTCCATCTCCCAACGGAACAGAGTTGGTGCGTCGAGGAGCGGGGACTGGCTGCCCCGCAGAACTTTCTATCGTGGCAGCAGCAGCAGTTGCAAATCCATTGGTTTTGCTGCTGGGCATCGTGTTATTATTGTTGCTTATACTAGCTGGCACTGTGGACGTGGGTGTGGGCATGGTCGTAGCCAGGGTGTTGTACTTGTAGGGCTGCTCAACTTCCCCCACCGATCGACTGAAGTTAGCTGTTGGAAAACGAGGTGAGAAAACCCTAAGTTATTCAGGGAAATATCTAAAAGAGTTGACAGGTCAACCTCTTCCAGTCATTCTAATTTAAATTGAAGATCTAGTTACATTACTATTAATTCTAGAGTATATACCAACCTGGTCGGTTGGCCAGATATCCGGAGGGGCTCAAAGAGTTGAGCACGGCCGGACTGCGCGGACTCGTCGGCGGTTCCAGAGGACCTCTGTACTCGCGCTGCAATACCAAACGCACAAATCGCTGCGGTTCAGTCAAACAGGCGACGGCTGCATCATGATGGGCCTCGGTCATATCGTTGCCGTTAATCTGTACAGGGAAATGCCATTAGCTTGGGTCAGAGATTGAAACCTCCGGCTATGTAACGCCTCCCACTCACCGCCATCACTCTGTCGCCAACCATAATTTTGCCATCACGGTGCGCTAAACCGCCCTCTGTGAGGCGCGATATGAAAATGCCATCGCAGTCGTCCTTAAACGGCGGCGAACCTTTTCCGCCCGCAATGCTAAAGCCCAGTCCTTGGCCAATCTGATCGCGGATGAGCGTCGTGTGCAGCTGGATGAAGCTCAGTGGCGCCTCCTGGAAAAACCGCAAATCGAAAACCAGAAATCAATCAGAAATAGCGAAGGACGGGGTATGCGAATGAATTGTCAGAGAGGTGGATTTTGGTTAGGGGATTTCATGAATTACACACCCTGCCATTCAGCAGCAATCCATTCGGGGCAGCAACAGAAGCTGGAGCAGCAGGCTGCACTACTTGTGCGGCGGTGGGTGTGGCAAACACATTGCCCGAATAGCTATGCGTGGGGGCCACCTGCTGAATCGGCTGTTGTCGCTGAAGCTGCTGCTGCTGCTGCTGTTGGTGCACAATTTCAATGGGTGCCGGTATGTAACGCTCGTGGCTAATAGATGCAGCCGGAGGGGCAACCTCCGCCATCAGTGGTCGAGTTTCCACCGAGATTTGGGACACACTGCCATCCTCGCTGAACACGGGATGTCCAATTAATCGGGTCACCTCACGCTGCACCACCAAAACAAGCACTGCACCGCAGGCCTTCAGCACCTGGACCGCCTGATAGTGATCCGCGTCCACGACGACTATGCCATTGACCTTGATCACCTTGTCGCCTACTTTAAGGCCAGCCAGGTCAGCGGGTCCGGCTTCCGTGACTCTTGATATGAAGATGCCATCGTCATCGCCCTTGAAGGGCGTGGAACCTTTGCCACCGGCAATACTTAGGCCCAAACCGGCTGCAGTGCGTTCGATGTGGATTTCGTACTGTTCCAAACGCAGCTCCGTAACGCCATCCAAGTTGTCTGCAAGATAATGAAAATAAACTGATTAATATCTTATTTTTAAATGACATATATTATTCTTTATTCCTGAATTTTTACCATATTGCTGTCTTTGCCTTTCGTAATCCCGATCTACTGGATCATAACTGGTCACTATCCGAACCCTTTTGCCCTTTCGCTGCAGTGATCCACTGGGACTCCGATTCGAGGAGGCCAGTGAGCTGCGCAGGCTGCTCATCGCCGGACTATTTCGACCACTTCCGGCTCCGGAATAAGCAAAGTTTCCATTGGTGCGCTGACCATTTCGGGGCAGCGTATTGTTACCCTCCTTAACTTTGATTTTGACATTGAACATGGCTTGATTTGCTTTTTATCTGAGTGCACTTTTTAATATAAACAGCAGGCAGGCATCTTGTCCAGACACTCCGTGTTGTATGTTGAGAGGCAACCTATTTTTTTATTTGACTGCACTTTTTAATATGGGAAGCTAACTTTTCATGCTACTCTGAGCTGCAGAAGCGCTATCGATCTGTGTCTGCTACGGGGGGAATAGATAAAATCAGACTAAGTGGGCACCCTATATGCATCCATTCAAGTGCATTGGAATGGAAAACCTCACCAATGCGGGAGCATCAGTGAAATTACACATTTATTGCGTTGATTTAATCAAATTTTAAACACAACACCTCTCCTGCTTAACAAATATATATCTAAAAGGATTTGTATTCAGCATAAATTTTGCCTTAATGACATTCAAATTGAATGACCCAAAGTTGTCCAAAAGCATCTGGTACTTGGCCATAAACAGCAGTCAATGAACCGCTACTAAAGCAATATTTCCCTCCCCTAGATACAGACATTGAAGCAACGACCTTGGAAAAGACACCTCAAATCCCCCCAGATGAGAATACGACTTTGTATAATTATTAAATAAATAAACAGACAGTCTGCCAGAAAACTCTCAGGCAGACGTCCCTCAGGTGGAGCAAAAAAGAGGCTGAGAGGCAGATGGTGTAAAGAAGATGAGTACCAGTAACTTTTCCCTTCTCAGAAAAACACATTTATTGCTTTCATTTTCGCTATTGCTGATTTGCACTCAATAAATCCGTCGGCACTTTGGCCAAGAAAATCATTTTATTTTCCCTCTCTTACCCGCCGATGGCGGGTGGATAAAAAGAAGGCCTGGTTCTTGAGACAATTTCACTGTGTAATTGTATGCGAGTTTTCATGTTAATCAAGGCATAAATGAAAAGACAGAGGCACTCAGCTTTAGCCTCACCTCTATCGACTCCTGTCAGCCTGTCAAGTCAACATTAATATTGCTGGATTTCAGTCTCAGTCTCAGTCGCAGTCTCTGTCTCAACATTGCCATTCACTCGATGTGCCATTATTGAGTTTGGTAAGTTGAGTGGGGTATTCAGAAAATTTATACTTCTTTGCTTACAGAACCAAGTTTGTTTTTCTGTGCTTGCTTCATAATTCAACAACATTTCAATGGGGACCCAAAGAACTTTAAGTAAAGGTGTTTTGGCAGCAAATTCATTCTGTTTAAATGTTTTTAAATGCCAACAACTCATCTCGTTCATTCCCAATTTGACTCTCTCTGAATTGTCGGACAAATGTGTAACCGAAAGACATTTTTATGGTTATATTTCGCCCACACATGCATACGTTCTGTTCTTTCGGAATAAAGCCATCTTTTCATGCTTTTCACCCAGATCCAGATGAGTGGGAGAAAAACGGTCAGAGGCAACAATAACCAAAGAAAAAGCCATAAAACAAAATAAGATTTTTCCCAGGGAGGAGAACAAATGACACGTGCTGTGTGTTTTTATTCCGGTTCCTGAGGACGCCGGAATGTAGGCAATCTTTTGTGGTGCAAAGGGGGGCAAAAGGCAAGGCAAAGGAAAGTGAAGTTTTAATACGAACTGAAACCAGGAACTGCACAAGAAGGATCGCATAAAGTCATTTGTTTTCCTCATATTTCTTATCAGACTTATTTTTACTGATTGCCAGAGTGCCTGCGAACTTTTTGCGGCACCCACTTAAGCGGGCATTTAAGCATTTTACGATGACATCACGCATGCAGCTCAATGAAGTAAGTCCCCAACCATAGGACCATCTTTTTTTTTGTCCTCCCACCACGTAAAATAAATGGCATAAACATAAACATATAAAATTTAAATACAGCAAAAGACGAGAGCAACTCGTAAAATGAGAAGGTGGCAATAAGAAATGATGATTCCCGGAATGCATTAGCATTTGCACGCTGGTTGTGAATCGGAATTGGAATCGGAATCTCCTACTGGTTGACAAATGCCAAATTCCAAATCAATGGCATGGTGGATTTCTGGAGATTCTCCTGTCCGCTGCTCTCTTTTTGTTTTGTCATTTATATGTAAATGACCTGGTTGGAAGGAGATTCCTCTGTCCCTGGGAAATTAGCCAACAGCATGGACATATGCCAAAAGGCAGAAATCATATTTCATTCCCCTGCCCTTTTCCTTATGGCAATCTGTGGCCAAAATGTGGACAGCACTCCTGCAGCTTCAACTTGTCATATTCGTCATGACAAGTGAAAACAAAACCAAAAAAGAAAACTTTTTGGTCGCAACTTTTCCTCATTCATGCAAATTCCGCTTTCCACTCTGATGGAATTTGAGCCAATGACCGCATCGTATCAATCGATTTTAATTACCCCGACATTATCAATGGCAAGAGATCAAGTATTCGAATGCGCTTAAAGCGACTTAAAGCCCTCTGTCACGTGATATGCACTCTGCATTTTTCCCCTATTTTTTTGTCTGTCCAACGCTTATGAAAAATGCTAGAGTTATGGAGAACTGGCAGGCTCCATGATTAATTGCCGTCCAGGTTAAACGGCGGGTAGCTACGATGCTGCCGCTTCTGACAAATTGCGAGTGTTAAGCTTTAGAAATCAACAAAACCGACCGTGCGACGTCCGCTTAAATGTGGCGACAAAAATTAATGAACAAAGTTTTTATGGGAGCATAAAAACACCCTGAAATATCCCGACAACAATCCCGCACTAAGCTTCCTCCATCAAAACTGACGGTTCTCTTTCGATTTCTACTGCAATTTTCGGTGGAACAGAGAGGGAGAGAGAGAGACAAGTAAAGGGGTGTGCGTTCAAAACACTGCTATCTAATCAAACTTTGGAATGCCTAAGCCAATGTGATAAAGCAAAACAAGAAGGCCCAAAATAGGAGGGGAAAAAGCTACAAAACGAAACCGTAGTAGTAAAACACACACAAATGCCGATAAGGCAGCTCTGAATCATTACGAAATATTTGGACGCATACGTAGGTTACATTACAACCAGCGAATCCCCAGTACAGTAAAGTCAAGTGGTAGTTAATGACCTTGGTCCACCTGTCGTATGCGTTATTTCCTGATATCAATGGGCCACAGCTAGCCAACATGGGTTTGGGTACTGATTAATGTACTTATAACGAAACGGATGATATCATGGACGCGAAAAACGGTTTTTGGTAATGAAAACGACGCCGTGTGTTCATTTTGATTGCAATGTGTGCGAGGGGAGAGGTGGGAGAGAAGGAGGTTGAGGGCAACAATTCAGGTCGTCACATTCCCGCATCAATGTTTGTTGACAAACCAATGTTCGCTCGGTTTGGTTGCGCTGGGACAGACAGGCAGAAACCAAGCCACCTCAGCGCCTCCTCTTTTGCGACAATTACTCGAATTTTCCACATTTCCATGCTATCAACATGGCGGCGAAAATATTGGAAAATACGCAGTGAAATTCTTTGACCCGTACATGCTTCTCTTCTCCGCTGCAGCTGGCGTTTATTGCATTTTTGTTTGTTTTCTAGCGCGAAAATGGGAAGACGGGTTTCTCTTTTTTTTAAGAAGGGGGGAGACAGAGGGAGATGGGGGAAAACTGTCACAAGTGATGAGGGCAGAGGGACGGGGGCTCTGGGAAAATTCTGCCACTGGGGAGTGGCGGTTTAAGCGTTAAACTTAGCATGCAACTGTGAAATGCACAAGGCCCGAGAACGATGAGTTCAGGGCTATTCTTCGTTCTTTGCAAAACTTAAACATTTGGCAAGCCGGAATCGAAATCGTGTTTGTTTGAAAGGCCATGATAGAAAGAATGCCAACTGCAAATAGTTTAAATTGCTGTTTGCACAAGAGCTGCAAGAGAACAGCAAATAATAATGCATACTTTGTTACATCAGTGATGAAAAGGGCGCACTGAACAAACAAACCGGCAAACCGACAAACATACAAACCGACAAACAATCATATATAAATATACGAACACGCAACATACTGAGGGAAAAATTCAATAAGAATCCCGTGCAATCAACGATACAATACATAAATAATGAATGCCATTGCCTTGAGCTTATCAACGGTTTATTTATTGGTCGACTCGGACGGTGCTTTTCTGTTCAAGAAATATAAGTTTTTGGAGCTTTAAGAACCCTGCAGGAAATGTGCAGCAAATGCAGCTTATTGTTTGCCAGGATCTAACATAAAAAAAGAATGGAAAAAATTGAGGACAAGAACGCAGGAATGTCAAAGGAATTGTGCAAATGTTGATTGTATTGCCGAAGCGTTTGCAATATCTAACCAGAAAAATCTGTGCAAAGGCGAAGGAAATGCCGGGAAACCGGATATGCACACAACCGAACCGAACCGAACCGAACTGAGCACACTTCTCATGTTTGCCATCTGCAAATATCCAAGAAGAAAACCCGGCAATGCTTGCTATATAAACAAGACTAAATTTACTTTCAAGTAGCTCATTTTCGGGGATATGCACTGCAGCCGAAATGCAAATAGGGAAGGAAGGCAACTTGGCCTAGGGGGTTCCGTTTCCGCTTCAACCTTGAGTACATGGATTGACAGAGAACTGCAGCTGAAATTCAATTATGGCCTCGGGCCATCATGCGTTGCGTATGCGCAATGTGAGAAACTTTCCAGACGAATGACCCGCTGCTGCCTCCTCTACACCTCCATATAGGAATTATGACAGACAGCAGACAAAAATCGATAACAATATGCGCTCGAGACAACAAAACACGTAAGCAGAAACGAAGAAAAAACATTTCACACTCTCCTCTTGAGAAGTATTTAACAATGAAATATTTTTTTTTTCCTTTATCGTTTTATGACTAAGTCAAGGTACGGATAACTGCTTGAGAAGCTTCTCCTATTGTTATTGACCAAGATCTCACTGGGTCTTGGCTATAACTTGCTCTCTGTTTTGAATGTTAATAAAAAAAAAAGCCAAATACAAATCAGCGTATAATAAGAAGTGCAAATATACGGTGAGCTGCTGACGAATGTAGCGCGTCTCTCGCGACGTTGACAAAACGCAAGCGTAACTGAAGAATGACTAAAGCAGGCGGCGAGTGGGCCAAGCGACAAGACCCGGTCGCAAAGTCTGGCAATTGCACTCGATTTAGTCTCTCCGTAGCTCTCTTCTCACTCTCAGTTTTCCCAGGTAGTCACAGCCATAGCCATAGCCCTAGACATATATATGTACATATAATGAGGCAGGGCAACTCATTTCAGTTTCATTTGCACCATTTTTTATATCGCCTCATTCGGCGCTCTCTGCTTGTTTACCCCTTTTTGAGTGAGGTTTGCACAGTTTTTCCACTATCTGCGCTCGTTTTTTATCAGCTTTTGCAAGCTGATATCGCTTTTGCCTGATAAGCGAATGAGCATTACCTACGTGCCTTGCCTATTTATAGGCCAACTCAACTGTTGCGTGTATTTCATAAGCTCAACTCGGTTTCTACACCTGTATAACGCGCTTTTAATCGATCTTACTCTCTCGCTCTCTTTACCCTAACTTTTTTCTGTGTTTTTGTTGATATAATTATGTCGGAAGTACATACTACCTCATGGATGAGGCCTAGACCCCAAAAACACTCGAATGTATTTATGCCTAGATGGCGTGTGGAGAGTTGCAACAATTAAAAGGGGTCATGGGTGGTCTCTTTGTGGTTTTACTTTACATCCAACGGGGACTGAGAGGATGCCAATTAAGTTTCCACTTCAATGTCCGCCCTTACAGGTCAGCCAGTTGGCAAATGAGTGAAAATTACCAGTAACCCCCCCACAGTCCACTTTCATATCGATTTCCCATCAATGCATGGCATCCCAATCTGCACCCAAAGCACTTTGGCCATTTTGGAGACGCAGAGTCACAGAGATGGAGCAATATAAATGTAATTAATTGAAACAATTTTGGTATTTACCTGCTTCAGTACTGGCCTCTCCTGTTTTGCCAGCTGGAATGGGCGAGAGCGAGGAGTCGAAAGGATGTTGCTGTTGGTCCTGCTCCACTTCCAACTGCTCCTCCTCCTCAATGGGCGATGTCACTTTGCCGGAAAGCGAGTGCTGTGGTGTAGTATCATTCCGCTCCTGTGAGGCCAATGCATTGGCCAAGATCTCGCTGGCCTGCTTGTCGGTTAAATGCTGAACACGCTTGTTCTTCAGATGATGCGGGGTGTCCCTGGATAGGAAATATAAAAAGTATTCGGTTATCATATTATTTTAATTATATTGCATCTGTTGTTTTTATTAAGTTTTTGATTACCCTTACCTTCTGTGCAATTTGGGTGGCCGCTTATAAAAGTCATCATCCTCGCCCTCCACCTGAAAGCCTACACGGCGATCGGATTCCTAAGAAGAATAAAAAACAAAGTTAGTAAAAATGATTTAAAATTTAAATTTGCTTAAACTTACAAACTCATCTTCCTGCTCGTCATCCTCCTGGATATCATCGCCTCCACCAACAGTAGCTGCTAGTTCAGCGACCACAGCTGCTGTTGCCACTTTCACATTGTTGGCAGTAGAGCTAGGTCCCTCTGAGGCACCCTGTACTGATGGGTGTGCGACTGTCGTTGCGGTTGGAGTGACTACACCCACAACCACTGGATGCTGGGAATTTACACCAACGATTGGTTGCTGCACTGGCTGCTGGTGATTGTTTGCAATGCTTCGGATCTCGGTTGGTGTCTCAGCTATTTTGGTGCCGTTCTGTGTTAAAAAAAAAAAGAGGGAAATTTTTAGTTACTTTACATCTACATGCAAGTTTTACAGTTCCCAAAAGGAATTGAGTTACAACTCTACATTATCTGTAATTTACATTTAATGCGCCGCCAGAGGCGCTATTTAATTACACTTCTTATGTAAAATTTAATTTATATATTAATTTAATTTAAAAATGGATAAAAATAATAAGAGGCATGCAAAAATTGAAGATTTAACTCTACAAAGAATAATAAAATAAATTTGAAAATATAAATATAGGTAAATAAGCTCGCTTGGAACCCATAACTTTTATAACTAAGTATTTAATCTACCATTCCCTGTTAGATATTTCCAAGGCCACATAGACCTCTTTTTGGCTTAACTCTAGTGTTAGTATTGAGCCAAAGAAGCATAACAACATTTAAAGCAATCGTATATTTGCAATGGAAAGTATTTAAGCATCTCCTATCTATGGAAGCATAGCATAAGCTTAGCATTCGGATCGAATCCGGCACCAGCACTCACCTCCTCCGGCAGCGTGACCAGATTGGCATGCTCCTCATTCCGGCTGCGCTCCACCTTCAGCTTCTGCGCCTTGGCCTTGAGATCCTTGGGATGCGGCGTATTTTGGCGCACGAAGGGCGTGTCCTTCTCCTGGGTGGCCTCCTCCGAGAACTTGACCACGGTGCGAGACGGTTCTCGCTCCTCGAACGGCTCTGAATCGGATTCCAGGTCACGGGCTATTTCAGGGGCAAATCAAACGAATTCCATTAGCATATAAATCAACGGAGCAATGAGGTGTATTTGCGGGGTTCAAAATGGTCTTAGATTAGTGAACTGCATGCCCATGCACACACTTTTACTACGTATTTGGGATATATACATACATACAAATACATATATATAGAATATATATGAAATATATGTAAACAACGATATTTATTATATACAAAGAGATTTATATTCAAAACGCTTAATTGTCTACGCTCTTGGCTTTGCACAAATCAATAAATAAACTGCCCATTAAAACTACGAGGAGGCAAACCACTATTTTTGGACGCTGCGGCGTAAACATTTTGGCCAGGTCTGCCTGGTCTGAGTCCACTCACTGGCTAATCCATCAAGCGCTTATGAGAAGTGTGTTGTGTGCCGTAAATTTTTCACACCACGAACATGGGTAAACAACATAAAAGTTGCAACATGTGGGGGCAGTCAGGGGGCCCCAGAATCTCAGATTTTGTACCCCCATACCTCATAGCCCACACCTCACACCCCATCTCCCATAATCCCGCTGACCAACACCAATCAATCTATCTACGCAGCAAGTGCAGGGGATGGATGACTGTTGCGGCAATAAACAAATGCAAATCACTGTTTTTCGACGCAGGAAGTGCCTTTGGATGAGCCCAAGTAGCTGCATCCACAATTGCGGAATGTCCGGCGCAGTCGTAACTTACAATCGTTACCGTTTTTAGCATAGACAAACAAATTCAGAGTCGCCCCCAGTGGGGAGTCCGAGTTAAGTAAGCGCCAAGATGAAGATTTATGCAAATGGAAGACGACTTTTGTAATGGCAATGACAATAATAAGAGGCCATTTGGTGTGGGGTGCGTCGCTTTTCAAAATTATTTCCTCTTGTTTTTGTTTTTTTTTCTGGGTAGCCAAAGTCCCATGACTTTAATTGGATAATTTGAACATAGCTTACATGGCTCTAAGATATGCGGGCTAGAAGAAAAAATAGAAAAAAACAATAAAGCCAACGTGATCTTGAAACTATTCACACATTCGTCTAAATTGGCTGAGCTATGTGCGTTATTTGTGCTCACTTTGTGCACTTAATCCGTCATTGACCATTTGATCGGTTGCAAAGTTACCAGACAAGTTGGTTCTCCAAATATGCTGATGATATAAGCTATTTATAGGCAGCAGTCGTCGAATAGGCCAAAACTCGTTTGGAAGCCAAATAACAGTTACAATATCTACTTATACATTCATTTCGATTGGGAAGCAACTACGCCACAGAACCGAAACCACAATAGCAACATCGGTAACAACAAATACAGGTTGAATCATGGGGCACTCAATCAGTGAATGTCACAGTAAAGACTGCCGATAAACGAATTAGCCTTCGAGGCTAGCTCGTTAGCATATTTACAGATGATATTCTTTACAAAGCAAATCTACTGACATCGTAAAAAGTGTTTCAATATCTTACAAGGTAAATGCTTTTCTAGGTTTTTAACTTTAAGTTAATCTTAAAAATTGTCAGTTCAAGCAAGAAACTAGTAATAAGAAGAAACATGGAATATGGCTGATAGTTCTCAACATTAAAAATAGTTTACACATTAAAACGGGATTAATCTCTCATATGCAATATTTCATAAGGTTCAACGACATTTTTTGGGAATTTTAACTGGTTTCCTGGAAGAAAGAAGCCGACCCAGCCAGGTCCCACTGTAACCCCTGTGACAGGCCATTAATCAACAGTTAGTTTTGGTGGCATACACACACGTACCGCATCGAAACAAGCCAGGCGATTAATATTATTAACCAACGCAGCGTCATACACATAATTACACTTCTCGCCGATCTTGCCCCAGTTTTTGTTTCATTTGAACTACAACTGCCACTCCTTCCAGGCAGCCATGACGTCACAGTCGTTGACATCACTCAAGGGCCTCAAATGTTGGGATTGGATAATTTAAATGCCTGGCAAGAATATGGCATGGATGATTGAATGGTAATGGATCTCGGGATTTGCAGCCAACAACAAACAAATCGTCTTATTTGACCGCTTTGATCTGGCATGCTGCCACTGACAGGCGGCTAAAACTGCTCATTTCGGGGGCAAAATAGATCCAATCGTTTGCCATTCCGCAGCCCAAGTGTATTTTTTTTCCGCAGTTGGATTTCTGGGTGTGGGAACCAAACGCAAAAAACGGCACTGATCTCCAGATTGGACACACGCATGGGCCGTCAAATGAATGGAATATAAACACAAAATAATAACATAATCAAATCAAACAAGCCAAATCGAACACACTTTTATCATCCATCGCAATACGTTGCGTGTGTGAGTGAGAGACTCACTATATAGAAAACATATATTCATGTTATTCAGCCAACGCCCGGTCCTGAGACACCCAACTTAAAAAAATAACAACTTGTTGTCATGACGTCATTTTCTGGTGTTGGGGGGGAAAACCGGTTAGTGTTTTTATTTCAAACACTCAACACAACACATTGTGAATGCTGACTGGCTTTTCGGGCAGGCCAAGATGCGTTTCCAAAAACCAAAAGTGTTGGGGAGCTTAGATGCTATCATCTACGAAGAACCCAAGAGAACGGAGTTCAACTGGCTAAATGTCAACCAGAAAAGTAGTTTTGGTGTGGCATTCTTTCAGACTCATCATCTCTATTCTTGGTTAAAGGTTTATAATTTTCATCACTAGCTAAATTTTGAATTGTGTTTGTTTTATTTTTTAACCGAAACTCATAAGCATCTAAATATATAAACTACATTTCACATTCCAAACAAAGCGATCATGCAAATGTTGAGCTGTCATGCTTAGAGTATGAGGCTAGCCTGTACAGTAGAGTTTAAGCTCGTAACTCTTAAATTTATAAATAAATTTAACAAAAATTGTGTTAACCAGTTCATGAATCCAAGTCGAGCAACTCTACTATATAGACTTGTTAACTGTACAAGGCAGATATAGTGTAGTGTAGTTGTTATTAATACTAACAAAGAAGGTAATACTCAACGCAAACCTTTTTGCTGATAACTGAAGAATTCCGTCGAATCGAATTTTTCGCTTGATCTATAAAGCGTCATGGGTGGATAGTCTTTGGGTTGAGATTGGAGTGGATTGGATTGGATGAACATAAAATATATATATATAGGGTGAGTGGTGGGGTGGAGTGCAAATGTTGGAAAGAGCGCGTGACGTGGCGGAGAATGCAAAGAAAATAATCGAAATCAGTAGGAAACACAATTATGGAAGAAGGTGCTCTTGCCGAAGCACAGCATAGAATAGATAGATAGATTTAGTCACAAAAATAGGTGAAAAACTTGCTGGGTGGATAACATTGAAATTGAATTTAAAAGTCTTGCCAAAGTATATATATTCTTTTTGTTTCACCCAGAAAGATAGTGAAAGGTGTACAACAACGTACAGAACTTGGATAGCGCGCACTCGTTTGTTGGCGATGTTTGCTCACTTTGCGGTTTATCTTATCGCGGAAATGCGAGCATAGATTCAAGATATTGCACAACGATTGGAGGGCAACAGGGGAAAGGGGTCTTGTGGAATCTATGTCAGGTGCTGATAAAGGCACATAACTTAGCCAAATTCGGCCCACCGCGAGCAGACAGCGCCAAATGTGGAGCAACCTTTAACCAGTGGGTTAAACCAGTGGGGTAAATTCCCATACTGCTTGCTATCTGCTGACTCATACAAACTCACCTGGTGTAATTGGCTGATATTCCTGCTGGGGCAGTAGGTAACAGGACAGTACCTGTTCACCCGTCTCCGTGTCTATGTCCGGCTGAAAGGTTAGCAGTGGCTGCGACTGATTCTCCGACAGCCAGACAGCCTTCAGCTGCAGATTGACCAAAGAGTAGGGTAGATATAGCAACTGATTCCCGCTCACATCGAGCACATGCAGCACTGTGCAGTTGCCCAACTCTGGCGGGAGTTTCTTCAACTTGTTGTCCCGCAAACTGAGTACGCCCAGATTGGCACACTGGCCAATCTCCAGGGGCAGGTACTCCAGTGCATTGCGATCTACGTTCAGATTACTCAACTTGGTCATCTGGCCAATGGAGGCGGGCAGCTCGGATAGGAAGTTCTCGGTGAGTATCAGCTCCTGCATGTTCTCGCAGCTATAAAAAAGGAAGGAAATTATATAAGTTTAGGAGCAAAAAAGTTTAGGTAAGTGGTATAGATTTTGCTTGTAAGACCAATTTCGTTGTTTAACAAAGACTGTATTCCTTTTTTTCTTTCAGAAAACGCTTTCAATATAAACAAATATTTTTGTTAGGCCTGGGCAAATGTTGTGCAATTATCAAGATAAGATAAGAAATTGGTCGGAACAGGAGAACGTAGTAGAGTCCAATGCAAAAACAAAAAGAAACGTTGCATTTAAAAAGATTAAAAGTATCTAAATTTGGAAAGTATAAACTTTGTTTATATTTTTAAAGACTGTTAACAAGCTAGGAGTGATACTCACTTTCCGAGTGTATCGTTCAAACGCTGCAATCGATTCTGATCCAATTTCAAGATGGTCAGCCTGCTCAGCTTGGCAATGCCATCGGGCAGTACCTCGAGCAGATTCTGGGCCAGATCCAGATCCGTCAGACTGACCAGCCCACTGATCTCGTTGGGCAGCTCCTCCAGTCGATTCTCCGAAACATCGAGGTAGGTCAGTTTGGTCAAAAGACCCAACTCCGGTGGCAATCGCTGGAGTTGATTGTGATCCAGCCAAAGCTCGTGCAGACCAGGAAGATATCCCAGATATGGAGGCAGATCCTCGATCTCGTTGTCACCCAAATCCAGACGCTTAAGCTTTGTCAGCTGGCTTATTGTCTCGGGCAGGTGCTTGAGCAGATTCTCGCGTAGCTCCAGTGATTCCAATTGAGTCAGGCTGCCAAAATCCGCTGGCAATGTGGTGAGCGACATATCGTTGAGGCCCAGGACGGTCAGGTTTTTCAGCTGGGAGAAGCCCGAGGGCAACTTGGGTATCGGATTCGAACTGAAATCGGCCACCTGCAGGCTCTGCAGATGCTTGATATCGTCGGGAATGTCGGGTATATCTAGAAGAGAAAACATATTGTTTACGTTTACTGATTGCTGTTATGGCTTTTTCAACGAGCCCAGGCCAAGCCAAGCCAAGCTCGTTGGTTATCGGGTTACAACATTTCTATCTGCTCGGCTGATTGACTTGCTCACGCATGAATTGCTCCAAAGGGCCGCGTTAATATATTAATAAATCTGCTATAAATATTCCATGAGACCCACTGAGCGAGAGATTTCCGCATATGGCCTTGTCATTGTCTATCAATTCAGATTTTAAGTGTTTAAAGCGCACGTTTTCCTTTTGACAGTTTTCTGAATTATCGACAAGCAGACTTGGAAAAACTATTAACTTTGGCATATACTCGTATATGGAGCGGTTTCAACCCATTTTTTGGCCATGGCTTTCGTTGTTATTGTTTGCCCCGGTTTGATAGAGCGAGACGAAGCGTAAAATGACAAACGAAACTTGTTGATCGAATAAATTTCGAGTTGCCAAAGCGGAAATGCGCACGCAAAGGACCCGGAAAACGGGAAAACAGAAAACAAGAGGCGGTGTACGAGCATGTGTGTGTACGCTGTTTACCATCACGCCCACAAAAGCTTTTCCACGAGAGCCTCGTATAAAAACCGCAAAACTGCCAGCACAAGCCAAACGACAGGTGGCAAAAGGAGTGGGGGAACTGGCCAAAAGCCTTTCCAACACTGTTTAAATTGACCCAGATACATGGGGGAAAACACTTGTACATCCCCCGGAAAAACCAAATATATGAAGAGAGAGAGAGAGAGAGAAAAAAAACATAACAGAAACGAAACGTAACATCGTCATCGGTCAACGCGGCGGGGTGGCTTGCCCCATGTGTCCACATTCAATCCAACTAATACGACACGTGGGACCGACCCGCAACGCGAACTCGCCGCGACAGGCCAACAGGAGCAACATGACGGAAACCCGGGTGGAAATGTGTCCTGCAAGCAGCAGGACATGCTCGAAGTTGTGTGGGGTAGCAACAATGGTCTGCAACGAGACAGTTGTGGCCTCGTGGCAATCGGCGGATGTGGCCAGTCATAGACCCCCGTTTTGCTGGCAATGTCACCAGTTGTGGCAGCTTGCCGATAAGCTATTTATTTGCAACTGCATTGCCATTGCCACATTGCCACCGAAAGAGTAAGAACAACAAACAACAAGAGCTGCAACAGCAGCAGCCTTTAATTAAAAATTATATAAAAATATAAAACTGACATTTATTTTTATGTACGAGTATCTGCAGCCCGGCATTGTGGTGCATTGTGTGCACTGACAGGCCTCGTTCATGGCCTTGAATGTGCTGACCAATTATAGATACTCGTACTACAGTTGAACAACTTGAAACACCATTTGCGTCTTAATGAATTAGTAGATTTTTAGATAACTTAACCATTTGTTTTTAAAACTGTTTAGTGAATAAGATATATTTCCTAAATGTAAGCACTAAAATCCATATATGCTGTCTTCACTGAAAGTGGAAGTCTCGGGAAAAGTAGGAATGCAATTTTAATGCATTGTGCATTCTAGACTGGATGCAAATAATGAATTTTTCATCTTTACAAAGTCCGACCTAGAGAAGTTCAACTGTCAATGCCACATTGCATCACGATCCCTGGCTATCAGCTCGTGCTCTTTGAACTTTAGAGAGGGCCTAAAAGCTTTTGCCGCAGCAAAAACAGCAGCAGCCGCACACATCCGTCAATCCGTCAACCAAAACACTCAAAATTGGATCCCGCCAGTTGCAGACAAATGGACGCAGCAAGGCGCTTTTCCTTGCCTCACCCTTCCTTCACACGGAGGCAATTGGAAACATATGGCAGCCACACAAAAAGCAGCACAAGATGCTCAGCTGTGCGGCACAGTTGGCGGTCATTAGATGAACGGCGGTGACAAACAATTCGTTGACCTTTAACACACACTCATACACACTCCCGTGGGTAATAGAAAAAAAACACCGAAATTGGGGCAGTTTGGCCCCATTTGGAAACTCATTTGGAGACGGGAAATTAGAGGAAATGCTGGGCGTGCCGGGCACAGTTAGAAAAAGCGTCCGGAATTCTAATCAATTTGTGCAATTATGCAATAAAGGCGCGGCGCCCTTCAAAGAAACGGAAAATGCCCCAGAAATTATTTAATTTGTTTATCAAAATTGATCGTTAAGAAGTGAGAGCGATCCAAAAATAGCGCCCACAAACGGGAACAATGCGGTAGCATTTCTTTATATATATAAATGTTTATGGCTCTTATAAATTTCACCAACCAGACAAGATCGATGAAAAAAGACAAGAACTGTGCCAAAATGAAGGAAAAACCCAAAAGAAAAGCATCAAAAATAAAACAAGTCAAGCGAAACGTCAGCAAACAACGACGACATCGCAAAGAGGGCGTGGTTGGGCGGTATAGTGGGGGTAGGGAAAGGAGTCTGGCGGAAAATACACGTATGAAAATTCTTTTCAATGTCATTGAACGAACAAAAATTTTAAGAGCACGCTGCTGCTCTGACGCTCGTGTTAAATGTGAAATGTGAAATGATTTGTCAGTATATCAAGGCGACCCAGACAGCAAAAGTGGGTGGTATAGGCATACAATCGAGGTCACCATACGCCATACATCTTCCTCAATGCGAGCTGCCGATGCTGCTACTGCTGCACTTAATGAAGATGATGTCGAGGATGCATATTTCACAAGCTCGAAAGGGAAAAAAGTAGTGGAAGGACAAAACTCGAGAGGAAAAACCCCATCCAGGGCCTTTCAATTTGCCTTGCATCATTGGAAAAAAAAGAAGAAAAAAATGCGGAATCCCCGATTCAATGGCTTGGTTACGTTTTAATCCCCAGCACTCGGCATCCGTTATGAGTTGCCATGGCACGTTGCCATTTCACTTATTGCATGCATCCAAAATGATGAAAAGGTTCCAGCTCTGCGGGCTGGAAGCCAAGCTGAGTCGGGTCCTTGTTGTCACCGCCATCGCCAACGCCATCCTGACATCCCTGCAATTTTACGGCTGCCATTGTTAAGAGCAAATCCCTAAGCGTCAACAGGGAAAATGGCTTTCCGCCACCACATTTTCTCGTTCAACCTGAGCGTCTTCTTTGGTGGCAGAGACAAGGCTAAAGCCATTGCCATTCCTGTGCTGTCATTTTAGCTATTAAATGTAACTTTATAGTCCCAATTGTCTAGTTTCGGATGTCAATTTTAAATTGTTGCCTTTGAATTCAAATAAATAAGGTCCTTTTATCAGCAATCAAATAGAATATTGATTGGATTAATAAAATTGAAGGTTTGAAGGTTTTCTTTAGAAAAGAGTAACTACTTATCACAAGAAACTGTACTTGCAATCTAAATCTTTGCACTTAAATGGAAATAAATTTATCCCACGTGACAATAATAAGATTCTAGAAATTATACTTCGTTATTACTCATTATTTGGATTACCTACTACCGATTAAGTGTTTCCGTAAAGCTTTATCTAGCTAAACCTTTTCAATCTGTAGCTTGCAGCACTGATGGCAACCCGGGATGATTGCCACATCGCCTGCAGAAGCTGAACTGCACTGAGCTGGGCTCAGATGAGATGAAACGAGATGAGAGGGTTTGTGATAAGTAAATGACTCTTAATTGTGGCAAAAGATGCGACTATAATGATGATGATGACAACGATTTTAAAGCGCAACAGGTGCTGTTTTTAAATTGCATTTAAGCCGATTTAACGAGCGCATATGAAGTGTATTTGACTAAGGCTTTTAATTCAGTTTCAATTAGCAAGCAAACAAAGAGCCTCCTCAGGCACTTTAACTGTGGGTGGTTGTTGGTTGCTGGATTTAATGACTGTTTTACGCTCGTTAGGCAGGCAACAAGTTTAGGCAAAGCCCTCTGACAAGACGAGCACAGATGCGTCCGCCCCAAAAACATTCACTTTACCCAGTGTACACATCTGCAATTGACATTTTAAACCTTCGATAGGTCTCCTTCCAACCAAAACCAAGTCATTTGGTAATCAATTTTCTGGGGTTTCTCATTTAATCAAAATCCAACCATAACCTTGGCCACCTGCGTCACTCTGTAAATTCATTTCAATTAACTAATTGCAAGCTTAATCCGTGCAATTAGTTGTTAAACTACTATAGATAAGCTCTTTTTTTCCCCCAACAAACATAAGTGCACTTTAGCTATTAACTAGTTGCAATTTTAATCCGTGTAATTAGGTTATTAACACCATATTTTTTTTAAGCATATGGCTTGATCAAACATTAATGGATGTGGCAAAAAGTCAAAAGGTTATTACAATGTAAATTAAGAAATAATTAAGTTGGTTTGGGAAGCATGAATGCCTTTTTGTAAAGTCAAAAACTTATTTAAACAATTTTTGAAATCGCACACGCTAGAAATTCGTTTGCAACATCTATGTTTGTTGTTTTATTCTTTTGGCCAACTCAATTCTTTTGGCTGATCGTTGTTGCCAAGTCGAGAGGATTCACTTTTGATTTGTTGTTTGTACAAGCTCGTTGAATTGCTGCCTGCTGGCCGAGTAGTTTTTAATTGCTCATCCCACGAGTGACGTCAATCGGCTCCAGAGACCAACAAGATCGAAATAAATGAGTTGAACATATATATATATAGATATATAAAGCACAAAAATGAAATCGACAGTATTGAATAAAATTACCCAATGTGAGAAGAAATGATTTTTCAATTTGCTCTGATTTTGCTCCCCTGACATTTTGATTTAGTTTTTGTTTAATGCTATTAATTATACAATTCTTTCTTGTCCGACTGTCCATCTGTCCGTCGGTCTTCAATTTTGTTTGTTTGTTTAGAGTACATTGAAATGTTCCCATCACTTGGCGGTCGCTCTCGGTTTGCTTTGACTTTGGCCAACAATTGCCGTTTTGGTGGAGAACTTCCTACAAAGTCATGGACGCTAATGGCCTAATGGTCCAAGACCACGGCAAAGCTTTGATTTTTGCCTTTGTTCTCGATGCCCCCGATTCTTCTTCCTCCTCGTCTTCTCGAGGAAATAACTAATTCTTTCCCTTGCAGTGAAAGAAAAATTACTGATAAGTCGTTATATGCATGAGTATTCTAGATTTATCATAACACAAAATATTAAAAACGACTTACTTGTGAGAAGTATTTCATTAACTTGGCTTAATATATTTTATAAATTTCTGTATACTCAAGGAAAGTAAATGCTGGGAAACTCAAAAACTTAACAGTTCTACATTTAAAATTTAATTACAGGTTCCGGCTTTCTTTTATATTTTTCCTTCTAACATGTTATTAAAGATGAGTAGTGTTTTAAGAAACCGTTTTCCATTTTCGTTTTTTTTCCGAGTGTGCTAAGTTCTTTTGATGCCTTGTCGAGGGTCGTCTCCGGCTTATGTTTTCTCGTACTTTTGCCCATACTATGTGTGTATGTGAAAGTGACTGCACTTGGAACCTGGGGACCGGAGCTCCGGCAGTCTCCAAGAACAACAAAATGAGCACGCCACTCGAACAGAGGCGCCGCGATTTTGTTTCTTATTTTCTTTCTTTTTTTCGTGTTCATTTTTGCGCGCACTTTAACTTTGACCCAGTTGACGCCTCAATTGCAACATACAGCGAAGAAAAAAAAAACAAAAACATCAACAGCAGGAAAAGATGACATACATTTTGTCACAGAAAAGCGAGAGGAAAAAGAGGGAAACATGTGTCAAACAGGGCCTAAGGGCATGACTTTCAAATGGCATTTAATTGAGTTTGAGTTTGTGGCACTCGGCTTTCAGACATTTCTCTAATAGTTTTCAATCAGCTTTAGGCGCACACAGCAATTTCATAGATTGCTGCAAAGTTGACAGCACAAGCTGATTAAAAACGGGCATAAAGTCTGTGCTTCCACTCTAATAACTCAGTAGAAAACAAATATTGAAGTGAAAACAACATTCCAGTTGGATAAATCAGGAAAAAGTACTATCAGTAGAGCTCTATTTGAGCTCTCCCAATTATCATCCACTCTAATTTCTCGTGCAATCTTTACGCCTCGTCACCCTGAATCCAATTTGGTTGGCATTCCATTCCCAAATATTAAAGCCCAGCGACAAATTCTCACAATTCTATTGTTTGTTTTTCGATGCTAGCCAAAAATAACGCAATCGCACGAATAATAAACTCGGCTTGGCAACTGCATCGCCTTCGGGGCCATTAAAAAAACATAAATTTGTTGCTATTTAATAAACAAAACACGGCATGAAAGCAGCTCTCTATAAATGGCAGAACTGCAATGGAAGCAAAACGCGAATGGCAGATATATATAGTGTGGAAATAGAAAACGCAATAAGCAAATAAACAAACAATTAGCAGTTTGTAAAAATGAAAAAAAAAAAATGGAAATAAAGTATGTGAGCCAGAGCAGCGACGTCGACTGAGCCCTTTTGGCTTACGTTTTGTAAGCGGGTCAACTTGTCATAATGATTTACGTGCAAAACTAGCGACGACCAACAATGACACCTGTACTTCAGTGCACAGTGGCGGTCATATATATAGCATATAGACTTCAAAAGTCGATTGATTACAATGATTACGTTAATCTCTAATCAACATTATGTGATTGCAAGTAAGTTTAAGTTAGATTAGGTTTCTTGACTTCTGTAAGAGTAATGCATTCTAGGGATACAGAGTACTCGCAGTTAGGGTTTTGTAATAGGACTAGCTTATTAACCTCTAAGTACTGCCAATTAAGCTGCTTGAAAGATGCTCAAATGGAAAATGTAATATAATCGTATATAAGGTTGTGAGCTAAACTAGCAGTGGCTACCATTCCCAAGAAAGTAGTTTAAATTTAATACAAAATATTAAGATTGAAAAGAAGATGTCCAATATTATCTCCTTTTCTGGTTTGATTCTACAACTACATTTGAATTTCTATAGATATCTTCACCAAGACAAAAATTAGTTTCTGACTATGCTCTGTCATATTTCCATCGTCACTATACTGCGGATGCTATTGTTTTGATCTCAGCTGTGTCCATATAAACGCACCCACAAGCGCAAACACACGTACACCCATAACAAGCCACTAGAGCCAGGGGAATTTATGTTTTTGTTAGAATTGTTATTATAGCCGTCGCTGGCATACAAATACAAAACACAGGCGCGGGTGGCAAATGCACGACGCCAGTGTCGCGTTCAAAATTCTATTGTCAAGTGCAGTCGGTCGAGAGTGTTCGGCTGTTGTTGTTGTTGTTCTGGCAGCTGTTTTTATGTACTTGCTGTTGTTATTGCTGTTGCCGTTGCACTTGCAAAATTTGCGGTATGAACGTCTATTGTTGTGGCAAACTGCAGCTGGTAAAGCAGCCGAATCGAGCTGGCTAATTTGAGACCAACAAAATGAAAATGGAAAATGTTATATAGAAAAAAGGGAAAAATACAACTCCCACACACACCGGAGAATTATTGCGGTTAGCAATAAAAAATGTGTGTGGGAAATTACATAGAAAGGTATGCGAAGCTTTACACCACCTGTGCTAAATAGCTTTTGCCCAGTGGGTTCAATATAATATGCACTTCAGCGCTGCAGGAATCGAATGTGAAAGGCTTTCCCTGAGGGGCAAGCCACCCACCCACACCGACACACACATTAAACTCAAGCTTAGCAAATAGAAAGCATGCACTGTTAAGAGATCTTTTAATATTTCGCTGATCGACTTATCGCTCTTTAACGACCATTAATCACCGATTCCTGCCAGGCGGATAATCTCAGCTAAGGCTAACGTGGGCGGCCTTTCACCCAGAGCCAACAGCCAGGAAAATCCAGCTCAGATTTCAACAGCAATGGCAAACTTGTACCAGTTCGGTATCGGGGACCCATTCACTTGGCCATAAGCCGTATGTTTCTGGTCATTTGTGGGTCATGTGTATAAACGGCAAACTGCTAATACCAAACTGCATAATCAGCAAAACAACAAGCCAGAGTAGTAAGCCAAACACGACCCGCCAAAGTCATATTGAAATCAGCGAAAAATCTGGTAATGAGTGCAGTCAACCTGGTCAAAATGCACAGAAAGCAAAAGGTATAAATTACACAAAATAATTATGGAATTCGATATTTACTAGGGAACCAAAATATATTATATTTTGGATAACAAAAGTGTTTGTTTTTTGGTATTGTTAAAAAATTAATTAATACTTTTTTAATTTCCTTGATTTTAATGTATATACTATTAAATAATTAATTTAAAATAGTTTTTCTGCTGTGCATTAATGCGATAGCCTCGAAAAGTTGCTGAATTTCGTTTTGCCAGCAAGTGAAACTGAAACCTTTGGACGGAAATGGGAAGCGCCATATCGACGTCATTGTCGATGATATAGCAGGGGCTGGCTGTGAATGAATGAGCGATTCGGTATTCGGTAAGCCGTTGTTGCCATGGATACTATCAAGTAGAGAAGGTGGGTTTGGTTTTTTAAAACAACAGAGGGGGGAGTATATACCCGTGCTGTTCAAGTTATTTTCTGTATATATTTTGTTTCCATTTATTTATTATTATGTTGTATGCGTCGGAGTCGCTTGAAGAGATGCACTTGACTCCAATTACGGGTTTCTGTTTACGGATTTATGCTCGCTTGAGCGGAAAATGCATATATGTGTATGCCGTGGATTGAGTCGGTGGTTGTGCGGGTGGTATGCGTATCTGTATATGGATGGATGTGCGGCAGAAGTTTTGCTCGGGGAAAAGTTATTAAAAACCCAGATGCATCTTCTTTGTTTGAGCAACAACTTGTTGGAAGACATGAAAAGAGCAGCGGCAATACGGATGTTGCATGCGCCAACAGAGATAAGACAATGCAATTGTTTGCGCTTAAATTGAGTTTAAAGTCGTTAAAAGTCTGTAATACAGAGCAATTTAACAAGATAAAAGAGCAGGAAGAGCACTTTTAAAGGGGAAAATAGAACAAAGTCAGTGAAGGAAAGGAAATGGATGACTATGGAAGGTATTAGATGGTATAAGTTTGGGGATTTTTTGAAATTAATGGGCAAACATTACTGCTTGTGACCTATAAACGTTTTAAACTTCAATTTAATTTCGAACTATTTAATGCTATAGAGTAAATATTTTATTTTAAACTGCTTCATTCACTGGAAACCGTAAATGGAAACCCAACCTTGCTTGCTTTTCTGTTTAGAAGATTTAATCTGGCATTTAATTAGCACAGATTATAAACGAAATGGTTAGCAAGAAATGCAATTAGTAAAACTTAATAACCACGTAGGTTGACAGCTCGACATTTTTCATAATTAGGTTGATCAGCCCACAACGTGGGAGAAAGCTGAATGCGTCATTTGATATGCTGATTCAGTTCCAGGCTCATCAGTCCCAACCGCAGATACATATAGATGTATAGTATATGCAAAAAGCCATTCCAATCAATGACACAGATGCAATTATCATATGCAGTTGTTGCCACATTGCGTGTGGCATTCATTGGTTATATACCCTCCTTATTCTGTCATTCAATCATTCAATCACTGCAATCAACGGACACGTGCTGTCCATCTAACCAAAAACATAAATCGAAAAAAAAAAAAATCCATACTCCATCAATGTCATTTAGAGCATTATGAGCACTTGTTGCATGTTTATGGAGATAGTTTTGTGGGCGGAGACTTTAACTTACCATTGCGTGAAACATCGAGCTCGACGAGATTTTCAAAGTTTTGTATATCCGGCGGCAGGCGTCCAATTTCATTGTCACTCAGTCCCAGCTTTCTCAGGCGATGCAATCTGAAGAAATTCTGCAAGCACGGAAAACAGAGAGAGAGAGAGAGAAAATATAAGATTTAGACCTCAGAGCACGACTCGGGAGCCTTTCGAAACAAAAGCCATTTGGGATTGCAACTCAGTTAGTTCGTTTTCGTGGCCATAAATCTCCAAGGGGTTGTCATTTGTTAGTGCCGTGACCCGTCCAAACAGTCAGTTTACCATTAGAATCCTCCATTTTCGTCCAGCTATCCAGCTATACAGCTTTCAGACCCAGGCCCAGACAGACAGAAGACATGTCGCCAACAATTCATTTATGAAAATCACGACTTCGATTCGAATTTCGAAATAAATTATGTTGGCACTCCAATGTTGGACTTTCCAAAGTGAAGGGAAGCCCAAGCTCAATGCCCAGTAACAAATACCCATACCCTGACCTTCCTGCAATGTGGAGTAGTACTCATCTTTTGGAAAGAAAGTTGCGCCCCCTACTGACTCACTGAGTCATAGACCTCAAGGTTAACAGCCGCTGCTTTTGTTCTGCCAGCGCGATTTTTATCGGCCATTGTTGCCTGAGTTCTTGACTTGGGGTTTGGGGCTGGGGTCTTGTGGCGAACCCAAAAGAGCAGTCGCCACCAGAATAATGTAAATAATTCGTAGTTCTGGCCGTAAAGTTTATTAAATTCTTTCTCTATTTTTTCTTTCTTTTTTTTTTTTTTTTGATTTTTTGTTATGTTCTTTGTTTGCCCCACATGACAATAGAAGTGCTGGTGGTGCCTGGCCAAGTGCCGGAGTTGTTGACCCAGTTTTTTGGGGCACTGAACAAGCGAATTCCGCAACGCGGCCAAGACACACTCTGGCTTTGGGCATTTATGGTCATACAAATCGAAAGGAATTTTGGGAACGGCAACCCATAAATCCATTTTGAGTCAGACACAACACAATATCACAAATATTATTTATAGAACTCTGTTAGGTTAATTTGCTACAGAACTTTTGACATGAGTCTTAAATCCTTCATTAATTGAAATAACTAAACTGATAAAGTTGGGTAACAATGCTTAATTTTATCACCGTCTAGTCTATTTTCATTCTAGTCGACCAAAAAATGTTCTTTAGTACTCTTAAACACTACTTTTTATTAACAGTAAAAGTCATAGTAAATTACAGAATCTAATTTTATTATACCATAAACAATCTGGACATTTAAAAGCGTGTACCTCATCATAAGTTTGTGGAAAAGTCAATGTCAGAAAAAACACTGCCCATTGCAACAATGAACAAGGGGCTTTTATTTTAAAGACAAAGCGGCTTAGGCTCCATCAGTGTCAGCTGCATTGCTTTTGGCCACCTACAATGGCCAGATTCCGTTTGCTATTTATGCACAGAAAAAGCGAAAAGCCTTTCAACAAATCATGCGTCAAAAAGTTGCAACTGTCAGCGACAAAGGGGCAAAAAAATGCAGGAAGACAGGCAGTCCGGGCCAAAAAAGAAAGACAGAGAAAAAAACGTAACTTGCATATGAAAATGGCCCACAAAAAGGGGGGAAAAAGGGGGGTGGTGGGTGGTATGAAATGGCCGAGAGACAAAAACGAGGACAAGGCATGACGACAATAAAAATGAATGCGAATTGTAAACTTTTCGCCAAGTGCTGGGTACAAAGGAGGCCCTCCCCCTTCATCTTTTTTTTTTTTTGCCACCCAACGAAGCAAGCAACAAACCAGCTAACCAACAAAAGCCCACGCTGCAACACGGGCTTGTTGTATGTGTGTGTCTTGGCCATAAATTACCGGCCGGTCTGCCGGCCGGCATATATAGCCATGAGTACGACGAGTACTGAGTACCAACCACGGAGTACTACCAGTTTGTCTGCCACTCAAGAGCGCACATATAACCATAGCTACAGATATCGTAGACTCACTCACTCGGCAGCACACTTTTACTATTGTATCTAGTCGGAGCAGGCGCACAGCAAGTGGCAGTAGCTGGCTTTTGGCCAGGCCAAAAACACAGAGCCAGCAGTTCGAGGTTGCATCACAACAGAAAACAACAGACAACAGACAAGTTGCTGGCTGTTTGAGCTGCATCATCATGTGCATAATTCGATTTCTGGCCGGGCACTTTATCTCGGACGCGAACAGACGAACTGGCTATAACAAAAACAATTCAATTTGCCATTGTTAAAAGCCTGGTCGAAAAACCAATTTGCGCTGCCTAAAAGCAAACCTAATAGACCCTGATGGCTGCTGCTCCGGTATCCAGGTCCCCGGGAAATGGAAATGGAGTCTAGAATCCACCCAGCAAATCCAGTGCAACTGCACTGAACCATGACCCCTGTATGTTGAGGGCTAGTATGGTAATGTGCGCTTCGCTGCCCGCCAGCAATTTTTTAATGTGCCCCAGTGTATCTGCAAGTGTAATCTGAAAGCCAAATGTATCTGGCCCACTCACACAGCTCACACACAACGGGGCGTACGCACGTACAGAGATATATAGCCATATATCCATATTGCCATATAGCCACATAGCCGCAGTTGGCGAGTGGTGTGTGCATGTTGCAAATGACTAGGCGCCCAGAAAGCACAGCACTATTGCCGAGGAAACGGGTTCTAGATACATTTTTCGGCACGGATATGTATCTCAACGGACTCATCGCATCTACAGCCACCGAAACCAGCTGAGCTAGAACAGCCAACAACACAGAAAAACGGACAGAAAAGACAGACAGACGGCGGCAATTATGTGCAGAGCTGGAACTGAAGACTGCGACTACGTTTAGTATTTCACGCCGCACTGGAGATACAAATTACACAGAGAGAAAAAAAGAAGCTAAATATATTTGGATATTAATGTTGTTTTTACTTTCTGTTCGAAAAGGTAAAAGTTTTGAAGAATATTTACTTCTAAAAGGAAATACTAACCCGTAAGAGATTTAGTTTTTTCAAGGAATATTATTTAAAACTCTTCTAAAAACCCCAAAATTCTCTCTCTGTAAATGGATACAAATGGCTGCCGGTGCCTTTGCCACTGCAACCGAGCAACAGAGGAGTCGAAAAATATACAAATATGTGTAATCGTCGAACAAACAAGACACGAGCTTGCGAGCTTCTCCAGTGGCATCCGCAGAAGGAATCGGAATCGGATTTTCAATAGCAGTAGTGTCTGGCTTCGTGTATCTGGGCGCCTGTTCCAATCTGTACATCTTCATTTTTCTATCCAACTTTTGCAGCCCCAAGAACTATTGTTTAGTGAGTGAGTGTGTGTGTTTGAGTGCTCCTCAGTGCATTTGTCATGCCAATGCCAACGAGCCAGCAAACCAACGAACCAACCAGGCAACGACTTTCTTTATGGACGCCTGCAGACGATGCAGCCACCGGATAAAAATTCAGAAGAAGAAAAACATAAGCCAACTGCTAGTCAGCGGAAAAGCACTTAACCGCTTCTCGTTTCCCAAACAGCTGCTTGGGAAATTTAGTATCTTTTTTAGATGCAAATACAGAAACTGCAACGCAATATAGCCATATCAAGCGCCATAAATCTCAGCTGCATCTTAGCCGAATCCCGACCACAATCGCCCCACAAAAAATGCATTTTTGACTAAATAACTTTTTTAAACAGCTGCAAACATGAAACAATCTCTCAGTTATTACGTCTGTCGGCCAGACGCAATGTTTGATACAAAAGCCTTCAGAAACAATTAAGTGGAAAACATTTATTTATTTATAGGCAAACCGGTTTGCACAAGCTCACTGAATAGTGGCTAGAATAAAAGTGGTAAGCGATGGGGAATTCGAGAGACGAGCGGTTGGCTTAGTGTAACGAAAACGAAATGAAAAACTCAAAACAAACCGAATGAAAAATTCCACAAGTTGAAGTACAGTTCGTCTTGAGGCTATAAGATAGCTACAGTTAAATTCAAATATAACTTAATCAAAGAAAGGTGTTAAAATTATTTTATACAATACTTAAAGGAATTCAACTCACGTTTATTTATTTGATTTCCTGTGTTTTAGTATTGATCTACAAATCACAGCTAATTGAAATAGGATTTAAAGAAATAGACCACATAATTTTTAAAGCTTGAAAGCTTAATGCAAATTTAAGAAGCAGCTAAGACTTATCCTCTGTGTTAGAACTTTGTACAAAAAACAATAAATTGATGAAGAAATTTCTGCCTGATTTTTCCCATGTAGAAATTAACTGCTTATACATTTTGTTTCGGTACAAAAGTTGATAAAGTTCTGAGATATTATTTTCTGTGGCTAATATGAATCGGAAAATATGTCAGTTTTCTTTATATTACTTAATATTGATTCATTGCAAAATATCTGAGTAATTAGGCCTTTTAGAACCCAGTAAATAATGGCTAGTCTGAAAGTCTCTTAAGATATATTGATGACCAAAAAGTTGCCAAATCAGTGTTTTGGCGTCTGTTTTTGTATATTTTTCTTTTTTGGGGGGTAACCAGCAGGTGTTGAGCCAGGTTGAGTAGCTAGCAGTGAGTAGTGTTCACTTAGCCAAACTCACTAAAACCAGACCGCCATTTTAGATTCTTGCTGGCTGTTTTCGTAGCTGTTGTCGAGTTCGCTGTGTCAGGTACGCGCGATTACTACCAAATGATGTCATTGCCGCTTGCTCTGGCTCTTTTTCTTTGTGTGTGTTCAATAGCCAGACTGCCGGTTAAGTTTTCACAAGAGCCCCTTCTGAATAACCCCTCCTCTGACCCCACCCCAAAATATATAGCCACCTGCTCCGCTTCAGGTTTCGAAAGCCAGTAATGCGAACAAAAGGGGGAGGTGTAGGTGGTCGGTCTTACTAAGCAGGTTGAACCTCAGGCCCATTGGGGCAATGCCAGGCGATAAGGTGATTACTCGGTATCTTATCTCCGAGCGTGACTAATTGGCCCAAATGAATGGGGCCAGCGGTTGTGACTGTGTGAATGGGTGCGGGTTTTCGGGTGGTTAGTATGCATTGAAGAAGCCAATTTCTTGCCCGTTGTTGTGCCCACAACGTTTCCTTGGGGTAGGTTCTTCGACATAGTATTATCTCTGAGTTGGAGAGCCCTAAATCGAGAGTTGCATAATGCAAATTACCAATTACATGGCAAGCATAGAACGAACGACGAGCAGGCCGAGAACCATTAAATGATTGCGGAAAAGACTGAATTTAAAACAGCTTTTTCCCATTCAATTGCTGCCAACCCAACTCCATCTGTGGAAGGCAAATGAATGGCCGTAGATTGCGGCAGATTGTCGTCGAGTTAGCAACAATTCAATTGAGCAAGACAGTTTTCTGCCACACTAAAAAAAGAATGTTTTACGGGAATAACTTTAATTTTAGTTACAGAGCGGAAAAACTAATAAGGAAATAGCTATAGATAACATTTAGAAGTTTCCACTATCTAAAACTCATATTATAAGTGCGTAGATTCCAGTTTTAATAAATTATTAGCCATTCAATCATAATTTAATATCCCTTTTCTGGCCGTGTACTCTCCCCACTCGTCAATGCTATGACAACGCGGAAATTGTGTACCGCTCTCAACAATCCAGAAAGGGTTGAGTCTAGCGATTCCATCAGCAGAAGCTAAACTGAAGCAACAATCACATCCGTTGCTGTCATTCGGTTTGGCATTCAAACGAACTCGCCAGCAGAACATCATCATTATATGGGAGACTTGTCTATTGTAGTTGCTGCTGAGCTGGGGCTGTGATGTTGTTCTTGCTCTTACTGTTGCTGCCCCAAAGCAACATGTAGTTGCTGCTGCTGCTGCTGCTGCTGTGGTTGCAACATGTGGCTGCTCCAATAACCAGAAGGTAAAGCGATCTGAATTTGCATTAGAAGTTCATTAGTGAGTGCGGCTAAGCGGGAAGGAAGCTCGATGAAAACCCAGAGGGAAAACTCTAGGAAAACTTCGAAGAAGGCCTCCTAATGAAACCAGCACAAGACTCGGAAAGCTGACCGCAAATGAATTGAAACTGCAACCCGAGATGTATCTTTACCTCCGCCCACAACTTGTTGCTATGTCAACGGGCCAGTACAAATGTTTATGTCCGACTACCGACTGCTGTTTACTTGTTTATTTACCAGCTGCAATCGTGGCGGAAGACCGCTGGCAAAACCAAATAAACAACAGCGACAGAATTATTCACACAGCCCAGCCGAAAAAAAAATAAAAAAGAAAACGGGAAAATATATTTTGAATGGCGACCACACCCAATTTATGTGGCTATTATCAGGGCACTTGGCTGCCACTAATTAGAATGCTGCACTTGGCGGAGCTTTGATCATCAGTTGCGTAATTGCAGATTCAATTATGCAGCTACTCACCATTATGACCGACTGCACTGTCAAAGAAGAAAAGGCTATTCAGCCCACTTGGCGATTTTCTCCCCTCATTTCCCCGCATTAATTAAAGACTTCCGCTCTCGCGACTAAGGGGGAACTTCTTTTGTCGTAATTGTTGTCTTGGTAAATGCCGATATGCTCCAACAGATAGCAGATAGCTGACCAAAGGAGAAGAATGGGCTTTTCACGAGGAAAATGAGATGGCAGATTGGCAGAGGAGGCGGCATGGAATGGCCCTGGGCGGGGTCAACGCACCCGGGGATGCAAATTACGTGCCTAGCCATCAACCCCTTGAGCTTAGGGGCATTCGGTGGGACAAGTTTGCCAAAGTAAAGCCATCGCCATCGTTGCCAGACAAGGCCGTTGTTCAAAGTTGTTAAACAGATAAAATCGGAGGGTTCTGAACAGATCAAACAATCCTTATCAGAATGTCCAAGCTTCTATTGGCATTTATCTACATCTTTTCTAGGTGCCTCTTACGTTTTCTGAGAAATTAATCTGGTTTCTAGGGTTGTTTGCTGAATGTTTTCATAAATTTTGCACCATTTTCTTTTCTTTTTCTTAGAAAATTAAAATAAATATGAATATATTTTTATTCCAGTGGTTTTTCCCTGTAAAAAGGCCCCTGTATCTCCATGTCTTAAGACAAACACTGCATCTATTAATATTTAATTTTCATTTACCACCCACTATCTTATGTAGGTCCCACACTCAAACTAAACCTGACTTGTCGGAATTTATTCAATTTCCCACGCACTTTGAACTATGACATTTGCTGGCTTACAGCAGCCTAAAGTTGAGATTCAGGTTGGTTTTCCCGGGACCACGGAATACATCCGAACTTCATTTTCTCCTTGTTTTTTAGCAAAAGAAAATTCAAACAAGATAATAAATATTTAAAAGTTGTTGGTATTGTTAAAAATTTTTTGTTTTGCTTTTTTAGGATGAGTTGGAATTTATTGTTCTTTTTTTATTGCTTTGCTATGAATCATTTTTTATGTTTTAAAGAATATAAGTACGAAATTATTCATCCCCAAAGTCCCCAAGAAAGTTATTAATAGTTAAAGCTAATACTTGTACTGCAAGTCAATGTCCTTGGAGATAGGTTTTCCCATTAGTTTCAATGTTTTTTTTTTTTAATTTTTAGTATACCTTAGGCAAATCCCGGATGTGGTTGGCGTCCAGAAAGAGCTCCTCTAGAGTCCGGGAATACCGAAGGATCTCTTCGGGCACCTGCGGCAGAGAACAGTGGCGCTTGTCCACGAACTCCACCTGCCGGTTGCAGCCCTTGAAGATGGGAATGCACTTAAACATGCTGCTCGTCTTCGGCCGCGTCGGCTGAGTTTGCTTCTTCTTGGACGTCGTCTTGCCGGCTTTTCGGTTAATTGGGGGGAAGGGGATTTAGGTTGCAGTTAAGTTTAGGTCGTTTTGATCGTAGGTTGTCTCTTCTTGACTTGGCTAACTGGCGGACATTGACCGCGTCTGTTTTTCTGCAGACACGGACTTGCGTTGCACACTTTATATTTCTATATTTCTATCGGGCCTTTTCTTTATCGCACACGTTTCGCCCACATTTTTTCACTGCAATTAAATTTAACATTTTATTTGTACTTCGCAGATTTTGCACATTACGTTAAGCGTGGCGTTACGTCAAAAGGCAAAGGAAAACACGTAAGAAAGGGAGAATTTTGTGTGTTTTTTTTTTTGCCTGGCCTTGCCATTTTTGTTGTTGCGGCTCACTGGAGTTTTGTTTGAGTGAGAGAGGGAGCAAGCGAAAAGAGCGAGCCAAAAGAGAGCCGCTTAAACACAAACGCACAAATAAACGCGCCTGTGTGTGTGTAATAAGCGAAATAATGAATAATAATCAATTCTAATTGGCACTTGGTTGGAATGCCATAAAACGCATTGCATCACGTAGTTCAGAAAAACGCAACGCATTTGTTGCTTCCTCTTGACAACGAATTTGAATGGAATGGAGGAATGGTGGAAAACTTGAGCGGAAAATTAACATTAATGCGACACACCCAAACGGACACACGCACACAGGCAAGGCGAGAAAGCCGGGAATCCAAATTGGAATTACTTTACGTGGTTTTAACTCATTTTTATGCCACTGTGCAGCGGCGTATGTTTTGGAATTTACACACACATACAGGCGCACGCACGCTCGCAGGACTAACACATACACACGGACGAAGGCTGCGCAACAACAAAATGCTGGTCTTAGGCGGCGAAAAATCAGCGAAAAAGGGAAAGAGATAGACAGCGAGTTGGCGTTTTTCTTTGCGTTTTTCGCACGCTTTAACACGTTATTTACACGGGTATCTACTGTAGTTACAGGGGCCACACTAAACAACAGAAATGGAGAAGCGCGTCTATACGAACACGTACACGCGCACACCGTCACACACACACTTGCACGCACATGCAGTTAAAAATCAGGCGGGTTTTTTCTTCACTCAAAAGCGGTCGAAAATCACGAGCGTTGGGTGAAAATCAACCGTTGTTTTCATCCGCGTTTCCAATTTTTTCTCGTCGTCCGCCCGCGCGCAACAACAACTATCTGCAGTATAACCTTTTAGATAAGCTGTAAAAACGTAGTTACGGAATTAGTATTTTTATGGTATTTTTGTAAGTAGGACTTTTATTTACTCTACGGTATTTTGCCCAGCGTATACTTGGTCACACTCTTGGGGGATAGTAAGTACACCTTCCACTTTAGCCAGTACACTAACTATTGACTTAGTTATTTCAAGAACCGATAACAATCGACAGTTTGTTGGCCTTTTTAAATATTAAATATCTTTATATATATGTTTGGGTAATTATTTTGTTATAAAGTATGTATTTCATGATATCATGATTTAATCTATCATTACATTGTGTTTTTTATTTGATTTAATTTACAATCGATAATGACTGAAATTATTTTATCTTTTTCGCTCTTTTCTTTTCCTTTATTCGCCAACAAGACTTTTTGTTTGCTTTGCGCCGCTCAAAAAGCTTTCTCTGCCGACGTCGGCGTCGACATTGAAATTTTTGGCGTCGCAAACAAAAACAAAAGTTGCCGGCTCTTGCTCTCCCAAGCTTAACCGGTTACTGTAAAGCACGCACAATGTTAACCGATTTAACCCAAGGAGTATTAGTATCTTTGTATCTCTATGTTAAGATACACATGTTAAGATAGACTACATCTTTCATAAGTTTGGTTTTTGTTTTTACATTTGAAAGTTACTATATAAAAAAATAATATTTTAATTAGGGTTTTAATCTAATATTTTCCCATAAGTTATATAGTTTAAATTTCTATTTCTAGGCTTATAACATAATCTATAAAATTACATTTCCGCGATTTGTAAAAATATAAATAAACAATAAAATAATCATTATTTTTTATTTATGTGTTTAAATTCAAAAGGGATTTTCCCCTCTGATCGCATTTGTATCTTGTGTTTTGTTCGCGGATATCTGAACCGGGTAAGAGTGCTTTCCTGAGAGAGAAATCGGGGGAGTATTCTCTCAGCGCGAGAGAGTCGGGTTTTCTCGCCGAACAAGCTGCTTCTCGAGGCCGTCCATTCATAAGTGAAGCGGTGCGCCAAAGCTCAGTGTATTCAGTTCTCAGATGGAGAACAAATTGTTTGGACGTGTTTGCGGATTGCGGGCGGTATTCTCGAGTAATTTTTGCCGGCGCTTGTAAATTCGCGATTTTTGTGATTCTGATCGAGTCTCAGTGTGCGTGTGTGCGTGTGTTATGGTGTGTGTGACAAACAAAAGTTAAACAAGCTGAAAACAACAACAATAATTGCAGCTCCGATATTAAATAGTGTTTGTGTGTGTTTGCGTGTGTTTGAGTGCGTGAGTGCGAGCGAAACACAAACGTAAAACGGAAATGCAAAAAAGACAACAAAGGTAGCTGAAAAAGAAATACAAAAAGAAAATAAAAAGAGAGGGAGGAGGCAACAGGAGCCGGTGCAGCCAGAATGAGCGAGACAGCAAGAACATCATGGGGCTAATGAAAACGAAATGTGATTCATTGGCTTTATCAATTGTGCAAAATTCCGGCATTGTTTAGTCCTGGGCGACAGATAAATTATGACATAATACAACAAAGGCGAAAAACAACAAGAAACTGAAGGAGAAGCAAAGAACCAAAGAAGCGTAAAGTGCGTAGATGTGTGTGCGTTTGTGTGGGTGGCTTGAGTATTTGAAAATTGAGAAATTCCAAACAAACAAAGCGGCAAAAAAAGGATATGTGTAGTAAAGGAAAAACACCAAGTACAGTAGTTGCTGCTTCTTATCCCGCAAAAGGCAAAAGCAACAGAAAAACATCTAAAAGTAAAAAGAAACCAAAAAAAAGCAAAAGCAAAGGCAAAGGCAAAGGCAAAGCGAAAGCGTAGCAAAAACAAGGAGCAAAACGGCGGCAGCGAAAAAGCTTAGTAAGCTGCGCTGCTTCTGTTGCTTCTTCTTCTCTGTGTTTTTTCTCTTTATTTTATTTTTTTTTATGATTTTTTTGCAAACAAAATGTATATGATGCCCAAATAAGAAGAACAAGAAGACGAAGCCGGGAGAGAAACGAGCATAATAGAAGGTAGAAATTTCGAGGAAATCGAAATTTGCGTCGTTGCTGAAATTCGTTTGTTCTCCTCTTCGTCCTCTCCCTGGCCCACTCTTCATCTTCTCTTTCGCTCTCTGTTTTCCTGAGCGCCTGATTCTGTGCCTGTGTGTGTATGATGTACGTGTGTGTGAGCTGCGCGCTGTGCCGCGTATCTGTGTGTGTTTTTGTGCAAAAATTCGCATACAATTTGTTTTATATAACAACAACTACCCCAATATGATTTCCTTTATTCAGCCGGCTTTTTTGCTTATCTCCCGAAATTCGGTTTTATCTTACCAAAAACTCAAATTCATACATATTCCAAAAAGTTGTAAACAAAACAAACTTTTTTAGCGCTTGACTGTAAACAAATGAACGCTTTTAAGCAGAGAGAAAAAATATGGATTACCTAATATATATTTTAACTATGTATTAATCTTGCTTAATACCACAAAGCTACTATAATGGTATATTATATATATAATATAAAATCTGTCAAATAAAGAGTTTGTCCTACTTTCTCTGTGTGTATGCAAAACAAAAAAGCGAAGCTCAAATTCGCACAAGCTCTTTTTTGCATTTTTCTTTTTGATTTATTGAATTCTTTTTTTCAATTGTCATACGTATAAAAGTTTGTCTGCGATTTGCTATACTTTTTGTAAAGCCTTTCATAGTTGAAATAGCAAAGGCAAAAACAACAACAACAACGCAGACATATAATAGTAATGGCAAAGACGCCGAAAATACATTTTAGCATTCATTTATGCCGATTTTTGTTGTGTTCTTTGGCTTGGTTTGCCGCGCGAATTTGCGCACTCGAGATATAGAAATGTATCTTGGAGATACACGCGCCTTTTGTGGAATTGAAATTGAAATGGGCCCCGCCGCCTTTTATGTGGCATCATCACCGGCATCATCATCATTATTCTTGCTATTATTATTATTACTATTATTACTACTATCATTATTATGGTGATGCGTGCGTAATGGCAGAGGAAGAATCTGAGCCGAAGAATCTGTGAATTTATCGCAGCTTAAATGCGAAAACACACAAAAAGCCAGTACAAATTTAAGGCCGATAAAAGGATGATGATGAAGGATGTTGAGTGGAGGGAGAACAGGATGGGTTTTCAGCAGGATATAAAGGCTCTTCCTATAATCCTTGAAATTATTATACAAGCTATTAAAGGCTGGAATTTTTATGATACTGAAAATTATTACTTCAGCCAACCAGGAAACTATAAGGGTCATTTTTAATTGCGATTTTTATTTCTCTATCCTGCAGAGAAGAATTATATTTTAGTTCTGAATTAAAACTTCATTAACATTACCATTAATGGGTTTTATAAGGGAACTATGGTATAATTTGATCGTTATATGGACATGGTCGTTAATTAAATAAATATGCAGACAAGTTAAATTTATAGTTAAATACCTTAAGTCTTTATCATTACCCTTTATTATTTATAGGGTAAATATACACATATCTGCAGAAACTAAAATTCAATTTTGACTCTGTTGGCCAATAAAATAAAGTTTAGAAAAAAAACATGAACGCAAATGATTGAACTTTGCGAAACAACAGAAACCAAAGGTGCAAAAACTTTGGTTGGCTTTTGGAAAAACTTTCTGAAAACTTTATGGCTTGAAAAGTGTAATCAAGTAAATCCAGGAATATTAAAAATAACTTCAAGCCCTAACTTTTCCTTCTAAAGCTATATGAAATTTGATAACAAAATTGCTTAGAAAAAAGAACTAAATTTGTAATTTACAATATTGCTTTTTAAAATATAAGTACAATTTTCGTGTGGTTCCCAGGGGGCTTTGATCCACCAGAACCCAGGCCTTACTGTCCTCCCACTTCATCAATTTCCCGATTTGAGCGCTGACAAACAAATGACTTTGGCGCCGGGCCATCGTGTTGGCGGCATGTTTGTGCGGACTATTAAACAAATTGAGTATACGCACTGTTGCTCGCCTAAAATATTTATGCGTATGCCCAGATATATTAGCATACTTTTCTGTGTATCTATGTGTGTGTGTGTGGGAGGGTGTATGTGGGTGCATGGGTGTGTGTATTAGATTAGTGAATATAATTCGGTGATTTGATTTCTCCCTCGATTTCCGTCCATTTCCCCAAGCCAAACATCGCAGTGAGAGGAGCAACGAGAAAATGCTTTTGGAAATCAAATTGACTGGCAGCGCGAAGAGTTCGTTAACTTTCCAATAATCGCGTCAGATAAAAGGATATATATAATAGTTACAATCGCGGTTGGGCCACAAAAAAGGAGCCCCAGCCGGAAAGCGGTGACAACAAACGTGGGATTGCAATGTGTTTGTTTTACAATCGACGCCTCTTTGTTATTCAACTGATTGAGATCCTGCTGCTCCTGCTAACCGACCACAATGGACGACTGACACTAACCAAGGAGTCGACAACAGGTGAGTGTTGTTACCTTTTGCCATATTTTACACACTGAATTCATGTTAGTGTTGATACTTTAGCTTTTATTTGTCACAAAACGGTGAATTTCCTGGGATTTGGCTAGAAGAAATATTCGAATTGCTTAGATGGGTGAGGATTTAGGACCCAGGTTATATATAACTCATTTAATTTAGATTATCTTTGCAACTAAACTTTTAATTTATGAATGAAAACACCTTATTTATTTACCATAATCTGGTTACTTTTATACCCCGACATGGCTAATTTTGATTTTAAAATAGTTGACAACACTGATCCAAAGTGCCAAATGCTGAAACTCCACTGGGGACCCACAAAACTTCAGGCAATAATCATAAACTAATGGCGTAACATGGCAGGCGTGTCCGCATTCCACTCGAAAGGTCTTTCAAGACTCTCAGCGGAGAGCATGAAGAAAAAAAAAACTTGTTGAGTTTCAAGGGGTTGAGATTGGTTAGGTGTGGGCGCCTCCTTGGTTGGCGAACGTTCGGGTGTTTGTCGTCCCCGGGATTTCCACGGCCAAATCCCATAAAGAAAATCAGCAACATGAAATATTAAAGTTGGTAAAACACGCGAGAAAAGTTTTTCGGTCTTCCGCGGCACGATTCCGCTGAGGATTGTGGCGTCAGGCAGGATAACTACCCCTTACCATGGGTTTTTTGTGAATGTTTTATTTTCGGCAACTGCTCTACGCCGCTTTGGGGGTTGCTCTTTGGGGGTTAGCACTCCCCAACAGGATTCTGGAATCGTCCCCTTGCATGTACTCCGGCTATTGCGAGGTTATTGCGTCGTTGATTTGGCTAAGCGAGGTTATAATTCTAATTTATTATAAGCGAACAAGTCAAAAGCATGACGTTCTCATATCTTATTGTTGGGGTTATGGAATCAAGTCGGCCAATTAGATGACAAATTGTGGAATCACCTGTGCTTTTCTAGGCTGAATTATGGAACCGCCACCCCCAATTTGCCAGTCATCTGCAGCATTCCCACGTTTTTAATGTTAACATTTCAAAGCCCCAAAGAAATTTCAAGTTTTTCCTTTTGATGTTGGCCATGTGTGCTGGCCATCAAAAAAGTTTACAGCTATCGCTCGTCAACATAGGCTATTTTCAAAAGGTATTTAAATTTGTGTATGAACTTCGTTCGACTTGTATTTAATATTGAAAAATTTAAAACAAGAACTTCAGCTTTACATATTTACTTCAGTATTTTAAAATTGAAAAGCAACTTCATGAAACTAAATAAGATAAAGGCAGCGCCTGCCATTTCGTATATTCATTCGATTCCTTCTCTCAAATTTAAATGAAATTTAAAACCTAAAGTTTGCCAAGGCAGTGAGATTCATTTTCCTTTTGAATAAATACAAACAGATTCCAGTTACCGAATTTATTTTGGGAAAAATTGTCAAGCGGTTGGAAATAATAAAAGCGCCTTTGGCTAGGCAATATCCTTGCAAATGGTGAGCTATTACTGTAATTCCTGAACCACCCGCATGAATCGATTCAAATGCCGTCCTGCAACATATTGGATTGCAAGAGACAATCAATCAATCCGAGACACATCAAGCGGTCATCCCTCATTCATCAGTACCGCCTGATTTTTTCCCTGTCTCCTTGCCAACCTCCCAACCCCCCGAGTTCCCATCCTCCATCCTCCGAAGACCACACACAATCATCAACTATTTATCCCCAATTGCTTGGAAGAATCAGTCAGAGTGCAGGGCATGGGCAAGTTCATGAAACCCAACCAAAGCAAACCGAATGCGAAAACTTTGCACACATGACGGAGCAGCTAGGATGGGGTCGGTAGAAGGAGGAGTCCCAGGAAATGGCGAATTTGTGGGTGGGTGGCTGCCTCGAAGGCAAAGGCAAAAGTCCAAGTCAAACGACTAAGCGGCATGTCGTCAATAAATTTTCCATTAAATTCAAAGTAACCCAAAACAAGCAAAAACGGGGGAAAATACAAAAAAAAAGGAAGGAAAACCTACGGAGGAAGGTATCCGAAGGAACATGGCGCAGAACACTACATAACTTTTCCTTGTTACGTGCCAGTATGTGTGTGTGTGTGTGTATAGCCGCGTTTATGCGACGATTTTCATAAAGTTTTCAATTTGCGAAAGAGCTAGGGAAAACCAGAAGCTGTGTCACATAAATAATTTGATATTTATTCCATCTTTTCTAACAGACAGCATTTTAAAAAATCAATGAAAATGTTTAGGCTTTAAATTAGATTAAAGAGTACTAACAGTATAAATAATTACTTAAAATATAGTTAATATTGTCATCTTTCATTAGTTTGGAAATACTATTAGAATAATGCCAGGATCTAAAGTTATATCAAAATTCACAATATTTCAAGCACTTTTCCTATGATATTTCCATGAAACGTGCCCCGCATAAACTTCGCATGTGTGTGGGAGTCTCTTCCTTTAGTTTTGCAGTATGTGTATGTGTTTGTTATTGGTATAGCTTCCTGCTTTCCGCTTGCCTGCCTACTTCGGCAATTGCCTTCAACTCGAGCCTCTTATTCAATTTTCGCTGGCGTGTGGCGCCATCTAGCGCCCACCGCCGGCAATCCCAACAACAGCAACAGCAACAACAAAAGCAACAAGCGTTGAGCGTTATTGTTGCCGCCGGCAATACACTGCAGGCTCACCATAAGCTATGGGGGCAACCCACAACATCCCAAACATCAACAACCAAGAAGTGGTGGGAGAGATCGGGGCACTATCATAGAAAAATTGAAAAGTTATATACTCTTCCGGATGAAATTAATGTGTTTTTGAATGATAGAACTCGTAATATATAGAACTCGGTTCTCTGATGAAGTCCAATATTATCTTTTCTTGATATTGTCCCATAAGAAAAGAAAGACTTTAGAAAAGTTGTTTCTTTCTTACAACGCTTAGAAAACTATTACAGATTTTACTCATAGGGGATCCATGGATTTTCTTATATTCCCTTGAGAAAGCATTCCTCTTCTTAAAATTCAAAGAAAAACGATTCCCAATCTATTTATATTTATAACCGAAAACCTTTTGCAGCCCAAAGTGGGGTCGCCCTTTTTCCGGGTGAGGGTATAACAACAGCATCAGCAATAAGTTTTCTTTGCGGATCTTTGTTGTTGTTGCTGGTTTATTCATATGCCAAACAGCAAATCGTTTGTGGTTGTTGTACTGTATGTTGTTCTTATTGTTGCCTTGTTGGAAGCAACAACCCAAAAGCTGCCTCCAAGTGCTCCATATTCATATGCAAATAGGAAGAGGCGAGGACCTTTGTTCTTCGCTGAGATGTTGCTGCCACTTTTCTTGTTTTTTGTTATTTGTTGTTTTTTGCTGTTTTTTGCTTCTGCTGCTGCTGCGTTGGCGTATCAGTTGACGTCGACGGCGACTGAGAAAAGTGGCGCCCCAATGCTTGATTTCAATTTTCAAGTGCTTCCTGCTGCGGTTGTTGGTGTTGTTATTGTTGCTGTTGTTGCAAGACCGCTCAGCTATTTGACATCTCAAGCAGCGCTACAACAAATGGCAATAACAACACCCTCGGTCGGCAAAGAGGGGCTTCTGCAAAAACAGTTGAAATAACAACTTGAGGAGTCAACGTTTTGCTGGCCCCGGCAATAGAAAACAGAAAATCGGCTCATCCAGACCACAAATGCAAGCCGTTTCCCCGCTCTTGACTGGATGAGTGCCCCACTATGGCCATGATGGCGTTGTGGATGATGATAGGGATGAGGATGCGGATGACTACGACGTCGACTACGATGAGCCTAAAAATGCTCCAGGCGCCGGTTTACATTGGCTATAGAAGAGAGGGTATATGGAGTATAGAAGGGAGTTCTGGGGACCCAAACTAACAGACTTCTACTCCAGCTACGCTTTTTAAGCCCCAAAATGCGCTACCAAAAACAAGCTACGAAGCTCTACACTATCACAAAAGTGTAGAACAAATAATAACATGAAATATGCTTTCAAAAACTTAAGAAACTTAAAGAAACTATGATTAAAGAAACTTATGATTAATTATCCCATTTCTACCTGATATCTCTTATTTTTTTCTACATTTTTGGATGTGGAGTATCACGACTCGATACTAGATATACCAAAAAAATAGTAACTTAAAGAAGTTTATTGGAATATTTTTCTCTTTGATGCCATTAAAACAAGTTCGACAATAGATGCTTTCAGCTAGAATAGTTTAAGCTAAGAAAGTTCTACGCTACGTGATATGCGAAAGCACAAAAGTTTTTTCATGACTTTATAAAGAAGAATAACTCTAATGTGAAGATTACAGGGCAGTGCTTATAAAACTTAAGAATAAATTTAATATAAGAAATAGTTGAAAATATGAAATTTTGATATTCCACCTTTACCTTTTCTTTTCTTGTTTTTATTGGTTGTTTTCATATCAAAAGGAAAGTTCCAAAGCTTACAGGTTTTACAACTTGTAGCAGCACTTTCCTTTATGGATGTTTCAAACTATCTTTTTATTTTTTTGGATGTAACTACAGAAGTGTGTGCTCTTCGAGCGCATTCGCTCTGATTAAAGTATCCGCACACGAGCACTGGCAATGGCCACATGACGATGTTTCTGCCGGGAGGATCCTGCGTCGCATTACTCGCAGCAGTTTCCGGTTTATAGCCTCATTGAAAATCCTTGCCGCTGCCCTGACAGCTTTAAACTGATTGCTCCACACAAACACACACTCACAGATCCAGATACATATACACGGACACCCTCCTGTGCAGCTGTGTTTGTGTGAAAATTCTCGGAAATCAGTTAAGTACATCGCGGACCTTTCCCCCGACGGCAGTTAGCACTTGGCAGGAGAGCAAAGATTTTTTTGCCTTTTCGTGGCGAGAAAAATCTTTGGGAAAATATTTTATAAATTTCATAATCTTCTAATGGAAAAGCGAGGGACGAGGTGGAAGCATATTTCCCTTTCTTGCTTTTTCATTTCTCCACTGACAATTATACTGAAA